AGCTCAATAAATACATCAAATCCAAATCCTTTCGCGCTCATATCAAATCCATATCGACTTCAATAAAAAAATCAAATCCAAATCCATTCGCGCTCATTAATTCAACTAAAATCAAATCCAAATCCAATTCGCGCTCATTAATTAAATAAAATCACATTTATATCAAACGCGTTCACTATTCAATAAATTTTATCCTAACCCGTGAGCTCAACAATCATTAACAATTATTTTTTTCTTTTTCATTCTCTCGCGATAGTCCCGGCCGGGCTCCCAATACATTAATTCATATATGTTTTTAAATGTCAAAATATTAATTTTAAATAAATTTTTTACTTTAATTAAAAATTATTACTTAACTTGAATAAATGGAATTGGACAATTTACATATATTGTTCTCTAATTAAATGGAAATTGGAACTTTGGATGGAAGTTATTAAACTGTGCTACTGAATTACAAAAAATTGTTTTAAATATAAATTACATTTACCATTGGATGAGATAAGTTTACTTAAACAAATATTTTTATTAATCACAGATCAATTAATCAAATCCATTCAGCGCTCAGTCAACCAAATCCAATTAATCAAATCCATTCGCGTTCAATTAATCAAATATATTCCGCGCTCAACTAATTAAATCCAATTAATCAAATTCACTCCGCGCTCAATCAATCAAAACAACTAATCAAATCCATTCAGCGCTCAATCAATCAAATCCAATTAATCAATTCCGTTCAGCGCTCAATCAATCAAATTCAATCAATCAAGTCCAGTCCGCGCTCAATCAAACAAATCCATTCAGCGCTCAATAAATCATCTTATTCAAATCAAATTCGCGCTCAATAAATCAAACATAATCCAATCCGCGCTCATAAATCTATCAAATTCAAATCCACAAGCGCTCATAAATCAATTATAATCCAATCCGCGCTCATAAATCTCAAATTCAAATCCACAAGCGCTCATAAATCAATCATAATCCAATCCGCGCTCAAAATCAGATAAATCCAAATTCAATTCGCGCTCAATAAATTAAATATAATCCAAATCCATAAGCGCTCAACAAATCAAATAAATCCAAATCCAATTCATAAATTAAATTAATACAAATCCAGTACGCGCTCAATAAATCAAACAAATCAAAGTCCATAAGCGCTCAATATATCAATCAAATCAAGTACGCGCTCAATAAGTCAAATACATTTAATCAAATCCAGATCAATTTCGCGCTCAACAAATCAATAAAATCCAAAACATATCCTAATCCAAGCGCTCAATAATAAAAATTAATCCGCGCTCATAATCAATAATACATATCCTATTCCAAGCGCTCAATAATCATTAAACGAATAAATCTAATCCGCGCTCAAAAAAAAATCTAACAAATCCATAAGCGCTCTAATCAAATCCAATCCGCGCTCAATGAATCAAATCCTAATCCAAGCGCTCATAATTGAATAATCAATCAAAATCAAATTCGCGCTCAATAAATTAAAACTAATCAAAATCCATAAACGCTCAACAAATCAGATAAATTCAAATCCAAGTCCAATTCGCGCTCAATAAATCAAATTCTAAATTAACCAAACCGCTCATCACTCAATAAACATATCCTAATCCAGCGCTCAATATTAAAAACAACAAATCCAAAAACAATAAATCCAATAATATTCATATCCTAATCTAGGCGCCTAGACTCAAAATACCCCATTACATATACCAAACATAGTTTTTCATTTTTATTTCCAGAGTTCATTGAAATTCTCATTTCACACAAAATTACACTAACTTCACATAACACTACTAACAAACAACTTAACTACCAACCAACCACTAACATTCCTACATTGCACGCTCAATATTAATAATTGTAATTTTGTCACATCCACTACTAACTTCCGCTTCTAGCTTTTTAATTAACATTCAGATAACTTAATAATCCATTTTAAAATCACATCCTAACTAAAAAAATTTTTTTTGATAAATAATTCCAACCCAGTTTATATATTCCCTCCAACCCAAACATTTAAAAACATCCAAATCTTTTTCTCAAATTTAATAACACCCCAGGTGGCCGCAAGGACCCTGGCGAGAAACTCATTTTTTCATTTAATATTATATCACTCAATCTTTTATTTAATTTTTCGTCTCGTAAATTTTCTAGATAAGATTAAGGACGAAATTGGGTCTTATGTTCCCTTAGGAAATATCTCAGCCCCTCTTTTCCACCCGTACTGGTGTTCAAATCAATATATCACCCCTTCCCTCACCCTTCACATTTAATAAAGCCGGACGTGACACTGAAAGTGGCCGTCTCGTGTATCCTCCAACTACCTCCAACATATTTAATAACAAATATCGGAGCTAACTGATGTTATATTCAATTTCCCACCGCTCATCTGTTTTTAATTCCCCATTCAATATTGATGTATTCACATCCACTCATTCTAACACCAACTCAAACAATTCTTCATTTAATCACCCATTCAAAATCTCCGACCTCTTTGACCACCCCAAGAAAACTCACGAAAAGAATTTTAAATTTTTGTTTAATTTTTCTGTTCCCATTAAAATTTTTGTTCCATTAAATTTTCCCATTAAATTTTTCCCATCAACTTTTCCCATTAAATTTGTTTTAAATTTTTTTATTTTTGTTCTTATTCCACCGTTGAAAGCGCTATGAAAAAAAAACATTTTGTTATTTTATTTGGAATCGCAATTATTTCAGATTGTTCATACATAAGTCCCAACTCCTTTTCCCTAGACTTTTTGTATGAAATCGCCCCTGAAATTAAACTCAAATAAAATTTGTTATTCCTAAATAAAATCTCTAATAGTATTACCACCCACTTATAACCTTTGTATATCATATCATGAAAATTTTTACTGAAATTTTACACTGCATCCCATATTTTATTACAAATCCCCTCCTAGTATCCATTATAAAATCCACAAATCCCTCCTGCATCCAAATAATAATTGAAGACACCATAAAATATATTAATACCCAGACTAATAAAATACTATAAATTATTCCCCTCATACTTTTCTCACTATTTACCAATACTGTACTCATTTTTATCATTTATCTGTTGCATCATTTATCCTATTGCATCTTTTCATCATTTATCCTATTGCACTTTAAACAAACAAAAATTTCAATTCAATCAAAAACTAATTTTATCCAAACAACAATAATTACGTTAAAAATATTATGAGTGTCCACATCTCTTTTACATATCACACTTCTCCTTTTATATTACTACCCTCACTGAAATAGTCATGCCATTTAATCCAAAACCATTGAAACTAAGAGCCAACCCCAGGAATCCCTCTCCCCCTAGGAATCCTTTCCCCTCTCCAAAACATTTAATAACTCCAGGTGTGACACAAATGTGGCCACCTTGCGATATCACAACTCAACTATAGGAATTCAAATCCATAAGAAAGCATCCCCACAATCAAAATTTGGTCGCAGGGACGCGACCAGGTGGGCAAGGGAGGTGTAACCCCTGATCCCGGAACCCAAACCAGTTCAGTCCTAGACTCAATCCCAGACTCTAATTCCCATTTCTATCTTCCCATTTATAAATTAATAGTTTCTCTTCTTTGAACTTTGCCTCTGCACTTCCGCTTAATTCCGCTATATTATTGTTTACAATTACAACTATTCATTCCCAGCCTTTCCATTATTTCACGTGAATTCCTATTATTTCCACTTATTCCCAAACACTTCCCATTATCCATCCACATGAACTCCTATTATTTCCTCTTATCCCCGACCACTTTCTCAACTAATCACAGTTACAATCTCCATTAATCCAACTTGTTGACTATTGCCTATCCCACTTCCCACTCCCCTTTTCCCGACTTATAAGGTTTTCATTCCCTCCAATAAACACCTCAGTTAGTCTCAGTTTATCTCATTCTCAGTCCATCTTATATTCTCAGTCCAGTCCAATCTCTGTTTATCCTCAGTCCAGTCCAATCTCAGCTTTATTCAGTCCAATCCAATCTCTGTTCCTTCATTTCAATGCATTGTCCAATACCCTATTATTCCACACATATTCTATTTCAATTACCAGTTCCATTTCCATACTCTATAAGTCTAATGAAGTCCTTTCAATTCTATTTCTCATTCAATCCATCCTAATCCAATATCAATGTTAACTCCATTATATCAATTATCAATAAATATGTAGAGTATTTGGTGAATTGGCTTAATAACGGGTAGGACCTCTGGAAGCCCACACTCGCACATCCACTAATTAATATCCACACACACACATCCACTAATTAATATCCACACACACATCCACTCAAATCCCGAATCCATATCCTCACATTCCTTAACCCAATAACTAACATACTAACTGGAATATAATGATGGATTATAGGTACCTACCAAAATACCGGGTACTACCCCAAATTGGTAACATACCTGTAATACTTCCATTCTGGGAATCATACGTAAACTTGGTGCTTTTATTTAACAAGTCCTAGTTGGGGGATATAATCTATAATCCCTCATATTCCTGTATAATGTACCTCAAAGTGGTAACATATCCGCAATAGACCAGTACTGAGAATTATACATACTTGTGTAAATCCTAGAAAGAAATACGGGGACTCAAACGTCCCCTTTTGGGTGGGGACTCAACCGGCGGGACTCAATCGGCCGGGACTCAACCGGCCAGGGACTCAACTGGCGGGACTCAACCGGCGGGACTCAATCGGCGGGACTCAAACGGCGGGACTCAATGGTCGCGTTCCGCAAAATTGTTAATATTAAATACGAAGAAAATATATTTGATCCAACTCTTTCATCTGCTGTAAAAAAGCGAAAGAAGGATATAATTTGGACTGAATCTAAATTTGAATTAATAGATGTGGTTGATTCCGATAAATTTTTTCCTCTGGATCTTCCACGTCTTTTTATTAAAAATAATTTAAATTTTTTAAATATTTTTAGTATCTTTGTTCAAAGAACATGAACTTTCTTCACCAATTGGATTTGGTCTTATCGGCGGCAATCATCGACAAAAACGCGAGAGAATTGAGGAACGGGGTGGTAAAAAAGAGGTAGCTAAACAACGTCTCCGCCGAGAAAAAGAGCGTCGAATTCAAAAAGAGGAGGAACGACAACGACTTGTTGCTAAAGCTCAACTCGTTGAAATAGGAAAACGTAGTAAGAAAATAAATGAGGAACATCAACGACTTGCTGCTAAAGGTCAATTCGTTGAAATAGAAAGTCGGGGTAAAAACAAATTTTATAACTCTGCTCCAGTTTATGAGTCCCATCGAACTTTATGAGTCCAAACCAAACAACTTCTTGAGTCCTACGAATTTTATGAGACAAATCACACTTCTGAGGGTATGTCAGCACTTAAAGGAGAAAATCGTTAAAGGAATAGGTTTATGTTACTGGTGCAGAATCTAGCGACTGTTGTTTTCGAGAGATGCGTGCAGCAAAACCCGCGTGAAGTGCGGGGTTACTTTGTATATTTTGTATCATAACTTTTCCAAATATGTTCAATCAAGCTGATTTGGGGAAGCAGCAGCAAAAACCTGCAAGCGTCTCTAGTGATATATAAGGAGCATTAGACGAATCGGTCCAGAAACAAAAAGCATCTATAAGTCACAATAGACATATAATTAAACATCTATTGAAAATATATGTGAAAAAATGACATATACATCAGGGATGTGCGAGTTTCGCCTTTCGTCTTTCGCTTTTTAAAATCACTTTCGGCACACCCCTGATATACATTGATTGGACTGATAAACTTTTCATTAGACTCATAGATTATTTCTAATGAGCTAGAAATAACTTCTAAAACCTATAACTTATTTTTTACAGAACAAAACCAAATTTTATTGTTACCTATGCCACCTTCTCCTATGGGACAGCATACATTGGAGACGATGACTCCGAACTCACCAGATGCACCTGGAACTTCGATTTCGTCGGATCCGATTACAACGGTTTCGTCGGTACAAGGTTATAAAGTTAATTTTTTGAAGAGTATTACTTTAATAAATGAAGTTAGAAGTGATGTTCGGGAGTGAAAAAAGCCAAGAGTAGAAACCGACAGATTATCACTCGATATCCCTTCTAATCCACAGAAATCCCTATATATCCTTCATATCCAATTTCATCAATTTTATGCGCCCTGAAGCGAAAATTTTGAGAATATAGAAAGGAGATTTAGGCGCCAAAGGCGAAAATTTTTTGGCACTTGGATATCACCGGTTTTGTCAGTTTCGCTAAAATGACAAAATTTGTGTATATTATTCTTAATTTTCTAAATCGCGAAACTGTTTTCTAATCAAATAACTTGAAAAATATTTTTTTCAGATGAAAATAAAATTCCTGAAACCGAAAAAAATTATATGAACCGACAAACTTCTTTGTTTTCGTCAAAAACATCTGGTCTATTACAAGGTATTTTGAGATTATTTCTAAGGAATTTTTAAAAAATTTCTAAAATTTTAATTTTTATCAGAACATACTCAACTTTCTGCACCGTTTTCACCTTCGTCGCCGCCTCAGACTCAGATGCGAACTATTTCGGCAGCTACGCCGTCTCCATTACATCTAGAACATGGTACTATTTAGAGATCGAACTTGAGTGATCGATCAATAATACGGTATCAGTCTCGAAAAATATCGAGTATCGAAAAATTTATCGATCGATAATATCGATATCGTTTATCGATAATATCGACATCGATATATCGAAATTTTTTCGATATATCGTATAGGTCCGGTCCAGTGCTTCGAAATTTCAAATTTGCTCGTACTCGTACTTCGTACCACCTACTTTTTTGGCCTCGTACTCGTACCTCGTACCACCCCCATTTTTTTGCTAGTACTCGTACTCGTACCTCGTACCACCCTTATTTTTGGCCTCGTACCTCGTACTCGTACCTCGTACTTACTCGTACTTAAGCTAAAAGCAAAAAATCGAAAATTTTAATGATTTTTTTGAGCCCAGGGCATCTAGTTTTAAATTTTAAGCGTTGTATGTGATAATTTTTGAATCTTGAAAGGCCTTGAAGTTATAAATCCTTCAATTTCATCTATTTGCTGCGCCGCAGGCGAAATTTTTTAGCATTTTAGAGTGCAAGGAAAAATATTTACTACCCGAGATCCTACATTTTTTCATCCGGTTTTTTTTTCATCCTTTTCCACTGAACTTTTCACATTTTAATCTCCTTATATCCCTCTTAATCTCAAATCCTTTTTTTCAAAAATTTTGAGAATTTTGGATGTCCTTAAGTCAGATTTCTTCTATTTTTGCGCCGCAGGCGAAAATTTTGAAAAATTTTGAAGGCCATGAAGCCAGATTTCTTTCATTTTTCACCACCGAAGGCGAAAATTTTAGAATTTGGAAGCCAATAACCACCTTTCTTATTTTTTCAGCGCCGCAGGCGAAAATTTTGAAAATTTCCGAAGGCCGTAGTGAAAAAATTCACTTTTAGTGTTCAAAGAAAAATTTTTTTAAGAATTTTAAATGGTCAAATCTCATAATTAATCCAAGTAAAAATACAATAATTAAAAAAAAAATTAAAATTATAAATAAGTTATTTAGGAAGAGAAAAAGATTAAAAATCCTTGTCCAGTGTATAGGAAACGAACCCAATATTAAATCATTATAGACTTTGGTGCAGCCAAACACCTTCACCACTCGGCTACTCGCTCATATAAGAACTATTGAATAAAATTAAACATATTTTTTCAATTTTCCTATTAACACCAAGTACGAGAAGTACGAGCTCGTACTTAGGCCTCGTACTCGTACTTTTCACTTTTTTTTTGGCCACGTACTCGTACTCGTACTTCGTACCTGCCCAATTTTTTTGCTCGTACTCGTACTTCGTACCAGGTACGAGTACGAGGTACGAGTACGAATTTTGGTACGAGCTTCGAAGCACTGGTCCTGACCACACAGAAATATTTTTTTTTAATATTTTTTAAAATTAATTAAAAAATAATTTATTCAAACATAAATATGTATTATTTTTTTGCTGATCATTAATTATAAATAAATGGTCTAGCGAACAAATAATTAAACAATTTTTTTTTATTTTTTAATAAACCACGCAAATACAAGTCCTGACCACACAGAAATATTTTTTTAAAATATTTTTTGTTCAGGATCGGGGGTTGTTGAGGAGTGCAGGTCAAGATCAGTGCTTCGAAGCTCGTACCAAAATTCGTACTCGTACCTCGTACTCGTACCTGGTACGAAGTACGAGTACGAGTACGAGCAAAAAAATTGGGCAGGTACGAAGTACGAGTACGAGGCCAAAAAAAGTGAAAAGTACGAAGTACGAGGCCTAAGTACGAGCTCGTACTTCTCGTACTTGGTGTTTATAGGAAAATTAAAGAAATACAGGGTGTTTCAACTAAGAAGCACTATTTGAAAAATCTATAACTTTTTACTAAGTTGACAGATTTTAATAATTTTTGGTATTTTATATCTATAATTCATAAGGTTTTTTTTGATATAAAAATTATGTCGAAATTCGAACCCTAACCCGAGATATTTTTATACTCTACCGTTCTGTTTTTCCCTTTTTCCGCACATGCATTCTTACTCCCTTTTGTTTTTTTTTGAGCGGCGATAGACACTAGAGTAAACACTAGGCGATAGACACTACATTTTCAATACAGTATCCACTCTTCGCCATACGCAGGAAAATAAATGAAGTAAGATAGCACACAATGAAAAGAGGGAAAAAAGAGAACGGTAGAGTACGAAATTGAAACGAAATTGAAATACCGGGTTAGGCTTCGAATTTAGGCATAATTTTTACGTCAAAAAAAACCTTATAAATTATGGATATAAAATACCAAAAATCATTAAAATCTGTCAACTTAGTAAAAAGTTATAGATTTTTCAAATAGTGCTTCTTAGTTGAAACACCCTGTATATTTAATTCCTTTCATTTGCCATTATATGAGCGAGTGGCCGAGTGGTGAAGGTGCTTGGCTGCACCATAGTCTTTAATGATTTAATATTGGGTTCGATTCCTATTCAATGAACAATGAATTTTAATATTTTTCTCTTCATAAATAACTCATTTTATAAGTTTAATTTTGTTTTAAAAAGTATTTTAGTTTTACTTGGAAAAATTATGGGTTTTTGGCTCTCTTTTTGGCCTTTTTGGCTATTTTTCTCCTTTTTGGCCCTTTAAAAGTTTCTTTAAAATTTTCATTGTACCTCTAAAAAGTGAGTTTTTTTCGCTTACGGCCTTCCGGAATTTTCAAAATTTTCGCCTGCGGCGCTGAAAAAATAATAAAGTTTACTTAATGGCTTCCAAATTCTAAAATTTTCGCCTCCGGCGGTGAAAAATGGAAGAAATCTGGCTTCATGGCCTTCAAAATTTTCCAAAATTTTCTTAAGGACATCCAAAGGAAATCCAAAATTCTCAAAATTTTTGAAAAAAAACGGATTTGAGATTAAGAAGGATATCAGGAGATTAAAATGTGAAAAGTTCGGTGGAAAAGATAAAAGTTCCATGTAAGAATATGAAAATCAGATGAAAAAATGCCGAGTTTGGGGTAGCCCGACCCATCATGGAGGAAATATCTCTCCTTGCACTCCAAAAAACTCAAAAATTTCGCCTGCGGCGCAGAAAATGTTTGAAATTGGAGGATTTATAGCTTCAAAGCCTTCCAAGATTCAAAAATTATCACATACAACGCTTAAAATTTAAAACTAAATGTTCTGGACTCAAAAAAATCATAAAAATTTTCGATTTTTTTTTCTCAAGTACGAGTAAGTACGAGGTACGAGTACGAGGTACGAGGGCAAAAATAGGGGTGGTACGAGGTACGAGTACGAGTACTAGCAAAAAAATGGGGGTGGTACGAGGTACGAGTACGAGGCCAAAAAAAGGGGTGGTACGAAGTACGAGTACGAGCAAATTTGAAATTTCGAAGCACTGGTCAAGATTCTGTCTCCCTTCATTTTCCTTTCATTCTTTTTCATTAATTGAAAAAATGAGGAGGAACATAAGAAAAAATAGGGCTGTGCCATCGCGCATGGTTTTGTCAAAAAATAGATCGAAAAAATTTGTTTGAAAATATGATTGCGAAAATAATTTTAGCAAGATAGATGTGTGTACTTCCCAAACATTCGGGAAGGGAGTGTTCAGGATCGGGGGTTGTTGAGGAGTGCAGGTCAAGATTCTGTGGGGTTCATGGACAAAGTGCAAACATAGTTCAGCTAAACAATAATAAAAAGGGTACTTTTCCGTTATCTCCCCTCATTTTCCTTTCATTCTTTTTCATTTCAAAATGGTCAGTCTCCCGATATACGTAAACGGTACACGTCGGCACTTTAACAGGGGTTTGAAAAATAGAGCGGCATGTCGCTCAATTAGAGGAAATACGGTGTTTACCTATTTTTCGATTTTCAACGTTATTTTTCACTAATTTTTTATGATTTTCAAAAATTTTATCGATTTTGATATCTGTGAAATTTTTTCGATCTCCGAAGATTTCTTTTGTTTCGAAACACCTTATAAAAGAAATTGATCAAAAAGTAAAATTAAATTTTTTCTATTTTTTCCCCTCCATTTTTACACCTTTTCCTCCCTCCTCCTCTTCTTCTCATTTTCTTCCTTACTCATTTTCTTCTTTACCGACCATCACAGCAAACTTGGGTTCCATTCCTTTAAATCTTGCTTGTGCAATTGGTGTCATAAATGGGCCAGGAGGAGGAAGTGGGCTCTGACAAGCAGAGGCAACAGAATCCTTTGTTGTCAATCGGTTGAGGATTCTAAATGGGGATTTTTAGATTTTATAAAATTCAATTAAAAAAATTTTCTCAAATAAAACTAACGTTCTCTCTGTCATGCCTAGTCGTTGAGTTACTGGTCTAAGTCGTGCAAGCGTCATTGGCAGACGAGAAACATCTTTAAAAAAAACTCAAAATTATTTTTAAAGAATATATTTATTTATAAGAGAATACCCCTAAAAATAACAAAAATTCCTTACCATTTTTCATATCATTCAGCAAATCTTCAAGTTGAGCAAGCATTTTATGAAGAACTATATAAGAATTTTTGTCACCCTTATAATCATCACGCCATAATATATCTTGTGCAGTAGCCAAGCATTCAAGATCGTCAAACCTTTCATTTAGATGGCCTAGAATAATTCAATAAAGTTTTAAAGATTAAAAGAATTTCTAAAAATTCAAAAAAAAATTAAAATTTACCAATACTATCAGAAACAGCCTTTCCAATAGCTATTCCCTTTTCTGCTGCATCCTTTTGAATATGTTGTTCTTCAGTTTTTTGGGTTATTTTTAAATATGCTGCACGACGTAATTGTTCCTCTATTATTAAAGCCTGTTCGACTAACTGAAAAATATTTAATTAAAAAAATTTTTTAAGTTTTTAAATTTTCCAAAAAATTGATAAATTTGCCCTTTTTCTCCATGGTCGAAACAGACAAAGTTCGAAGATGCAAATGAAAGCCCATTATTGAGCTCGACAGCTAAGTCCAATGACACCAAAATCACCGTAATTGAACAAATTTGGACGAAGTTATAATACAAAAAACAAATAACGTTACTCTACCCCCATGGTTTTTCAATTTTCAATCGACCATATCATAGTCCCTAGGTACTTGACTAACCTCGCCCATAATTGTCCGAGCTCTTTTGAATGACACCATACATGGCCTGTTCCGACTACGGAGAAAAAAGGGCATATAAGTGGAAAGTGCCAAAAATTTTCGCTAACTTTCTTTGTTTTTAAATTTTCCAAAAAATTAATTTAGAAAAAATTTCAAAACCTTATAACGTCTTTGCAAAAACTTGTTTTTATATTCGGCAAAATTTCCTTCTTTACTTTGTTCTGATTTAAAGGGTTCATTAATTATTGAAAACCGATTGTCGTTTTGAATGTCTTGGTAACGACCATAGCCATGCCTAATTAAAAAATTAATTTTTAGAAAAAAAATCCGTCCTTACATAACAATCCCACAAAGTAACCAATAATCATGTCGTCGATTCCAAATCTCATATTCTTTTCCAGGAACAGCAACATTTTCTTCATTAAGCCAGAGAGTGTGGAGTTCAGTAAAACCACCATCAGCAATATTAAACATAATTTTTGGACGTGGTTCTCTGGATTTCTGCTCGGTCTGTAAAACGAATAGTTGAATAAAGGGAAAAGATTTTGTTTTGAGGAATTTTTTAAAATTTCAAAAGATAAGACAAATTTTTAAACAATTAAAGAAAACCTCTTCATCAATCTTTTCCTCCTCTTTATCACCATCAGCTTCCTTAGGTGAAGAATCTTTTGCTGTAGTTTGAGTACCTCCTCCAGTAAGTTCAGCTGCTGCATCAATCATTTCAACTTCTTGAGGTTCGGCAGTCTTTTTAAGATCATCCTTAATTGTTTTATTTATTTTAAAAATATTTTTTAAAAATACTATAGCTGGAGTCAAATCTCGACTAGCATCACTATGCACACTTAATTCTTTCTCATTGCGTTGTACATTCAAATGATCTTTATCTTTTTCCCGTTCTTTATTTGCAGCCTCAGCAGCAGCCAACATTTGGGTTTGCACCTTAAAAATATTTTTTAGAAACTTTTGAAAATTCAAAAAACCTCAGGTATAGACCATTCACCATTAACAGCTTCAAATTCCTGAACCTTTTTGCGTATTAGTGACATGATTCCAATTCGAGTTAGAACTTGCACACGATTCAAACCTTCACGTGGGACGCCATCATTAAAACACTCCTTAAAACAAAAATATTATGAAATTTCATGGTCAAAAATGGTTTAAACTAGAGGTCGGCGCGGGACGGGATCCCGACGGGAAAAAATCCCGACCCGGGATCCCGGAAGTTCGATTTTGCCGGTCTCTAGTTTAGACATTTCGTCCAAAAACAATCAGTGACTGAACAATTATTCTTTAATTTCTGTTGACTATTTTCAAAAATTAACTAAGCACCCCAAAAAATATTTTAATTTGATAGTTTGTGGGGAATAGGCAGAAAAATCTCCCCTTATTGTTAAATAAATTTTCAAAGTGTTAAAATTTTTCACCTGAGAATCAGCTCCAGGCTCACAAAGATGCCGCATAAACAAAGAAGTATAAGCTTTAAAGGCCCTTTCAGATTTGCCTTTGAGATCACGAACTAGCCACTGTGATTGATAGGCATCATGAGGCGGCATTCCCCATCGCATTACTGCATTAAAGAAAGCTCTTCGTTGTCTTGGGTTGATGCCAAGAACTTCCAATTGCCCATTTACACGTGCCAATAAAGGAGGTAATTTTTCACCATCACGTTCACGTTTCCGTCGACGCTCTTCTCTAACAGAATCGAAATCGTCTTCTCCACTTCCAGAACCGTCATGGTCAGAAACACCAGAAAATGAGTCGGAATAGTCTTGATCTCCTCCCGCAGGCGTTCCAGCTGACCCTGGCTGCCATTCCTGTTGTATTGCTTCTGTTGCATAATTAACTTGTTTGCGAACTCTTTTTCCTTTTCCAAGATGAGCCCTTTCAAGTTCCTGTTCTTGCTCAAAGTGATGCCTTAATAACTTCTCCCAATAGTCTGGATCAGCTTCTTGTAATGCTTCTTTAATTACTTCCGTTTCGTCTTCTTCTATAGGCGCATCTTCCTTTGTAATATATGTTGCTACTTTGAACGAACTCAAATAATCGTTTGCCCAATCTTTTCTTTCGGGTTCATCTGGTGCCGCTGCAGCAGACTCTTTTGTTTCATCTTCTGCTCGTTCAAGAAGTTTATCGACAGCATCATCATCCCAAACAATATTTTGCTCTGTTGATTTGCCTGCTCCATCACCTTGTTGTGCTTCTTCATCTTTAAATAATTCTTCAGTTCCCCAACGAAGAACATCATCCAACTCAGTTTTTGACATTGAAGGGCCTTTTTGACCTATTCCAGCACGAACAACAAGGTGGGTGAGCTAAAGATTATTTTATAAATTTTAAAAAATTAAAAAATTCAAACCATCATTTTCTTTTTTGCAACGGATGTTATACGTTCCTCAACAGAGTTGCGAGTAACAAACCGGTAAATCATTACTTTACGCTGCTGGCCAATTCGATGAGCTCTACTAAATGCCTGAAACATTTACAAGAATGAATTTATTTTAATAATGTAAGGCCAAGTCCATCCTGAAATCACGTGAACAAGAATGGCGTTCTAAACTTTGCGCTAAGTAACGGAAGTTCCCAGAGCGATCCAAAGTATAGCACAAACGGCCATTCTCAAAAAGCAAATAGCTCACTTATTTGATCGCATTAGCCATATTCACACAGCCTTAAGGCGGTTCTAGGAATAAATGTGCAAGCAATAAAAGCTTTGAGAGAATAGGGAATAGGGGGTTCAGTCGACTAATCTTTCTTCATTTATTGCTCAGCATTATTCCACCGGCCGGTGAAGGAAGTATTAAACAACAGCTAGCCTAGTGTCGATCCGGAAGGAAGACGTCTCCCAATCCGGAACTCCCCTATATCCAGCGCTTGCCTACATTCTATACTCTGCGGAGTTCACACAAGGACGCTTGCGAAACTCCATTCTAACAACCCCATTTAGAAGGCACTGAGAAACGGGACCAACCGCTTTACTATAACTAAAAATTAACCTGAATGTCATTGTGCGGATTCCAATCCGAATCATAAATGATCACAGTATCCGCTGTTGCCAAATTAATTCCTAAACCTCCGGCACGTGTTGATAAAAGAAAAACAAATTGTTGTGCCCCAGCAGCATTGAAACGGTCAATAGCATCTTGACGATTTTGTCCCGTAATTGAACCATCAATTCTCTCGTATTTATAACCAAGAAAATCCATCATATCTTCAAGAATGTCCAACTAAATATTTTAAAAATAAATAATATTCAAAAAATGTTTAAAAAAACCATTTTTGTCATTTGAGAAAAGATGAGAACACGATGCCCTTGTTCCTTCAAACGTTTCAACATTTTTTGTAAAAGAACAAATTTTCCACTATTTTTGATCAGTGCTTCTCCTTCATAAGCACCAGTTGGACGTTTGGGTGCTTCTGAGAAAGAATTAAATTTTATTTTGAAAATTATAATGAAAATACAACCAATTGATGCTTTCGGAAAAAGATATGGATGATTTGCACATTTTTTCAATTCCATCTAAAATGAGAATATTTTTAAAAAGAAAGATTTTTGGGTAATCTTCCACTTTACTGGTCTCTAGAAAAATGTGGAAAAAGTGCTTTTTCGATATTTTTTAGGTCTGCCAGTAGGTAATCGAGTGTGATGAGTCCGAATATGGACTTAGAATTTGTTTATTGCGAACCCCGGACCCAGATTCGACCAAGTCTAATTCGGGGTATAAATTCGAAACTATTAGGCCATCGCTATTCTGACACGTCTCTTCAAGCTGTGTCGAATGATATCAAAATTATTGTGTTTCGACAACTCTGGACGAAGTTATGATCAATTAAATACTCGCTTGGTTAGACTTCCATATATAAATCAGACACCAAACTTATTCTAAAGATGTCAAAAAGTAATAATTTTAATACCAATCGACTAAGCTCGAAAAGACGAGTCAGATTAAACTTAAAATTTGAAATTTCGAATTTTTACCCCATGTTTTTGACATGGTCGAATTCGGGTCCGGGGTTCGAAATAAACAAATTCTAAGCTCAGATTCGGACTCAGCAATCTTGATTAACTACTGGCATGCCTCAAAAATGTCAAACTAGCACTTCTTCCTCATTTTTTTCTAGGGACCGGTAAAGCTGAAGATTACCGATTTTTGTTGGGTTTTATTTTTAAAAACCTCTCATTGTAATTATAAAGTTTGCAATTAACTCATGATAAAATGAGAAATTAAACTTACAATAATATTCAAAAGTGACATTTGTGAACGTCCATTTTTAATGCTGAGGGCCTCAAAATTCTTTGTAAGAATGTGACGATAATATTTTCTATTGAAAAAATAAAATACAAAATAATCAAAAAATTATCACTTTTGTAAAGGACTTAATTCAACACGAACAATTAATTCGCTCTTTGAAGGCATTCCGGTAAGGACATCAGCTTTGAGACGTCGTAACATATGCGGACCGAGAAGTTGATGTAAACGTTGAATTTGGTCTTCTTTTGAAATTTCAGCAAATTCGTGAGTAAAGGATTCTAAATCACTAAATTTTAAAGAATAATGGTACAAAAATTACTATTTTAAGTTAAAACTAGGGTTTGACCCGTAGGAAAAAGAATTTTGATATTTTATCGTTTTTCTTTCAAAAATAATAAAAGCAAAGTAAATTGGGAGGAAATTTTTAAAATTTTTCCTTTAAAATTCTCCCAAAAATGGCATTTTTGGGTATATAACACCCCGAAACTTTTCGGGTCGGGGAACTGGGTTTTTACTTTTTTTCGGGGCGGGAAGAATCGTGAAAAAACCGTTCGGGAACGGGGTTCGGGGTCAAACTCTAGTTAAAACTAATGATTAGATTTGGAATAAAGTTTAACAAACAAAAACCAAACTATAAATTACTCAGCCAAGAAAAATAATTTAAATGTAAACTAACTAAAATCGATCAGGGCTCAAAAAATTTAATAAATGGAACAATTCTTCCAAATTGTTTTGAAGAGGAGTTCCAGTAAGCAAAAGACGATATCCAATATTAAAATCTAGAAGTGTTCTAAAGAATAACGATTGCTTGTTTTTGAGACGATGGGCTTCGTCTACAACAAGAACAGCCCAATCAATACTGGAGAGTATTGCTTTGTCAATATTTATTAACTAAAAAATAAAAATATTTTTAAAAAATTAAAAAAACCTCATAAGAAGTCAATAAAACATGAAATTTAATGCCTTGATCTGTCCTCATTCTTCCAGCTTTTGTTCCGCCTCTTGTGGCCCCCTCAACAAAAGAAAATTCATGCTCCCTAAAAAAGAGTTTTATTTTTTTTAATTTAAATTCAAAAAAACCTTATAACAGTTCGACTGTCCTTGTCTCCAATATAAGTAACAACATAAAGATCGGGAGACCAAAATTCAGCTTCACGTTCCCAATTGATTAATGTAGAGAGCGGAGCTGATACAAGAAAGGGGCCTTTGCTATGTCCTTCTTTGACAAGAGAATAGAGAAAAACCATTGACTAAAATTTTTTAAATAAATTTTTAAAAATCTCGAAAAATAGCCAAATTAAAAAATAAAACAAAGCATCCAAAGATCATAATTTAAATTAGAGGTCGGCACGGAACAGGGTCCCGCTCCCGCACTTTTTTCGATTTGCGGGATTTATCCCGCGGGATCCCGTCCCGCAAAGATTTTAAAAAAATTTTATCCCGCGGGATCCCGTAAAACTCCTTTTGCATACCTCTAGTTTTAATTTAAAAAAACCTGAATTGTTTTTCCCAACCCCATTTCATCAGCCAAAATTGCATCTATTCCATTTGACCAGCAATGACGAAGCCAATTAATTCCTTCCATTTGATAAGCATGAAGATTGCCTCCTGTTTCGTTTAAATATTCTGGCTGAGCTTCGTATTTCTTTTTTATCTTAATAGATTTCTTTATTAAATTTAACCCAAAATATTTTAAGATTTTCTTATAGGGGACCAAAATTCAAAATAAATTACTTACATCAGTGCTTGGTTTATTTTCACGCTTTTTACGCTTCTTCTCTTCATCTTCAAATGGAGGCAATCCTTGTTCAGCCCTTCTTTTATTTAATCTCTTTAATATATATTTAGGCATTGCTTCACCACTCATTCGTTCACTTTAAAAAAATATTTAATTTTCACAAATTAAATAAATCTACCGATGCACCCAATAACGAAATATTGCATCTTCATAACCAGGAATATCAAAATCATCACGTTCCCAAGTTGCTTGATCATATACTAATTCACGCCATTTAACCAAATAGTCGTATTGATTCTTCTCATAAGCCATGTGGTTAATTATACGATGAACCTTAAAAATTTATTTTTAAAAGAATTTAAAAAATTTTAGATAATGGAGCTTAGTCACTTCTTTTATTTTTTAACACTAATGTAAGTATAAATTATCACGCAGTTATGTATAATCCACATACCAAAGGCGCAAGCCCGTCTAATTAAACACAAATTTAATATTTACTAAAAGTCACAACTTTACTAATCTTTCAACTGCTTTCTGATAAAATAATAAAAGCTAGACAAATCACCAGAATTTTAAAAAAGCAAAATAATTTTAATTACTCTAAAACAGCTTTGCTCAAATTTTAGCCAAAAACTTTAAAAATCAAATTATTAACCTGCATCCATTCAGGTTTGATTCCATAACGATAAAATTTCTGTTCCATATTATGCGGATCATCCTCCTAAACATATTAATTAACCATTCAAAATTCAAATTTAAAAAACTTTTTCTTTATCATCAATTCTACCAGTTCGCATATCTTCAGTAGAGCCATCATCAACTTCTGGAGGAACTTCAGGGTCCATCTTTCGCCAATACATGCGTAGGGTTTGGGTGAAATGGAGTTCCAAAACTAATTCTTGAATCCATTCACAATGCCTATAAAATAAATTTTTGAATAAGAAAATCCAGAAAACAATTGTCCATAAAAGCAGGGTTTGCCATGAATGCAGTTTGGTATAAATGTCAAAAATGGATGGGCTAAGGAGTTGTTTTAGACAACCAGAATGTAAAAAATGGTACTTGGCTAGGGTTAACGGGGTACGGGGTTGCTAAAAGAAGAAAAACGACGTGTAGTCGTAAGCTTTCTGGTGCTCACAATCAAAGGGTAGAAACCCAATCCTTACCCAGAATCACCATTCTACAAATAATTTAAAATATCAAAATACCAGTAGCTCATATATTTCCATTTGACAAAAAATTCGCGCTCTCGACGAGGCTTCATCTCTTTTTGAGGTCTTAAGAAACTAATCTTTCGTCGTTCAGGATCGTCAATATTCACAGCATTTTCTCCTTCCTTAAGGCGATATTCTTCGGGTAAAGGTTCTGGGTAGGCATATTCAATCCAACGCCAACTCAGCAATTTTTCAGGACGATTCTTTGGTTCAACACACTGAAATAATGAAATATAAGTTTTCAATTAGAGGTATTAGTCTATTTCATCATAAAAACAGCCTAATCAACGACTAATACTAAAATATAAATCGTGAGAAAAATCAAAACCTGGCAACGTGGACATATCCAATCTTCATGCTCATTTGGCAATTCTTTTAGTGGAGGTGACAAACAATAAGCATGGTATGAACTTGGGCAGCGTTCACAAGTCAACAGAAAATCTCGTTCCTAAATATTTAAGGTCAAATAAAGTTTAAAAATCCAAAAAAACTCACAGAACAAACTCTACAAGTATCCATATTTACTGGAATCGCATCCGCTGCTGCCTCATCTCTTGAAGGAGGCCCGTTTTGCTCGCAATGTGGACAAGACCAGAATCCTTCTGGGGGTTCTTCCAAGTCTTGATCATAACAAACCAAGTGGTAAGCACGTGGGCAAGTGTCACAAAGGATTATTTCACCTCCTTGTTGACATACTTCACAATAATCTTGGTGTTCTTGCTGAAGATTCATTTTTTATTAAAAATTCTAAAACCAAAAAACAGGCTCTATATGAAATGAGTAACGGGATCGCATTTTCCCTTACTTCCTCAAATGGTCATTTTTCCTTAGTTTGTAAAGTCTGATTTTTGTCGAAAGCAAATATGGAGAAAAAGGGGAAAAACAAATATAAAGGATACACAAAAACATCAAAGAAGTAAGCACGTGGGCAAGTGTCACTTATATATGAAATGAGTAACTTTTCTTCTAATTTTTTTCACAATTTTCACAAAGATTCCGAGTCGATCCAAGTCCCATCACGCATTTCATTTAGAGTCAAACAACCTGTGGATTATCTCCATCTTCCCCTCCTTCGCCTTCCTCCTTTCGCCGTTTAACCTTTTGTTTTAATTCCTTAACCTTCCTGGCTGCGGCACGTTCTTTTTTGCGTTCCTCCTTTGCTCTTTCCTCCTCATCCAATTGCCGTTCACGTTCTTTTAGAAGAGATTCAAATTCTTGATCGGAGTTAACTGAAATGTAAAAACATTTCTAAAAATCAAAATCACTTACGTTCTTCTTCAGAATCGTCATTTCTTCTCCTCTTCCTTGTTGATAGTCTAATTTTTAGGGGAGCAACTTTCTCAATTTTATCAAATTGTCCAGAAGAACCAACAGCAGATGACGTTGGTTGTAAATCTTTTGTAGTTTGTGGATTCAAAGTAGATCCAGCAATTCGGCCGACTTTCTTACTAGCTAATTGTTTGCCACGTCCAGTAAGCATATTCTACAAATTTATAAATATAATTTAGGTACAGGATTTAATAATTCCTGAATTTTATAGTTCAACAAATTTTAATCTTATTTTATTAACAGGACAACCGGTTCCACATTATGGTCATTTTCAATAAATTTTTTTGCACAAGAAACCGGGAAGAACTGATTCGAAAACAAGTCACCAAAAAATAAAAAAAACTTTTTAGCTCTATCCGAAAGAAGTGCCGGGATCATATTTTCAAATATTTCCTAGGAATGATTATTTTTCGTTAGTTGTAAAGTCTGTTGATTTTTGCAAAAAGAAAAAATACTAACATAAGGTGAATTGATCCTTCTGCGTCATTCTAAGGAGTTAGGAAAAAACATGATCCCAGCACTCCTTTCAGATAGGGCCAACTTTTCAAATTAATCAAAAATAATTGACCTGGTACTCGTTATATTTAGCCACCATTACAGCATTAATACGTGCCCAACTTGCTGTTGGATTCATATCTTGGAATTGTTGTCGATAGCGAACATTGAAGGACTGAAAGTCAAAAATTATTTAAAATTCAAAATTACTTAAAAACCTTCCCAGACGAAATACTTTCAAAGTCCTCTTCATTGTATTCAAATTGAACATCAATTAGCCCAAGCATTTGGCACAAATCGGCGCTGCTGTTTGCATGAGGGTCTGGAACTTGTTCTCGATTAGGCACCAAATTTTTCTTTTTTGTTTTCCGTCCTCTCTTTTTGTGGCCTTTCTTTGAGTGGTGATGTGAAGAGGAGGAGGCAAATTCATTTCCTTTAAAAAACAATTTTTAAATTTTAAATCAACCAAAAAATATTTTTAAAAAATTACCAGTTTCTCCAAAAGCAGATTCCCCCATTCCTTCCATTCCATAATTTCCCCCTTCAAAGCCTTCTTCCTCTTCGTCTTCCTCCTCTTCTTGCATAGAATCAACTTGTTCCTGTGCATCGTCTACCATTTGTTGTCCTGCTGTATCCAAATGGTCGTCGTCGGAAGACATTTTTTAAATTTTAATTGGAATGAATCAAAGAATATAATTCTAAAAATAATTAAAAATATGTATGTATGTACCAGGGGTGTGCGAGTTTCGCGTTTCGCGGATTTTCGCGTTTCGCTTTTTAAAATCCGTTTCGACACGCCCCTGGTATGTACTAGGGTTGTTGGCGACCAGTTTTAAAACCGGAATTTTTGAAATTTTTTGCCAAAAATTAACCGTTTTTAGAAAATTTTAAAAACCGAAAACCGGGAATTTGTAAAAATGAGTGATTTTATTAAAAATTCCCCCAAAATAAAACCGGTATTTGCCTAAAACTCAAAACCGAAAACCGGGGGCACCGGTTAATAACCGTTCGCCAACAACCCTAGTATGTACCAGGGCTGGGCTTATTTCGCACTTTCGCGTTTCGCATTTTTTAGCGCGAAAAGTTTCGCATTTCGCTTTTTATATTTAGATTTTGCACAGCCCTAGTATGTACATATAATTTTTTGAAATTCGTTCTCGTCCAATACAGACACATATAAATCAGTTTTTCAAGAATTTCCCATAATGTTTTGCTCCTTCATTTTTTTCCCCAAATTTAGGAAAGTCCAATCTTTTTAGAAAAAATTTTTTAATTTTTAATGTAAGCTCGAAACTTTACTCCAAAAATTATTAAGTGTTAAAAATTGTTTTTGGAAAGTTCTTTAAAGATTTATGAAAGTCGCGTTTTGAATGTGGAATGAGCGTGGACGTCCTTTTTCTACACACAAATATACAAATGAATAAGTTTAAGTGAGTGTATATTGAAGCTTAAAAGAAATTTTAATCAATAATCCATTATTTTTAATATCTTTTATAATACCAATTTTTGTTTGGTTTCTAGACTCTAATGAACAATTTATTGACCTTCTCTCATTACTTTTAAAAATAAGGTATTGCAGTGGTGCCGTGTAATTTGGGCAGTGGTGAATTGGGCAGTGAGTTATATGGGCAGTGAGTGATTTGGGCAGTAAACGTTTTTAAAAAATAATTTTTCACCAAAAAAACAATTAGAGTAATAGTAGAAAAACTAATTATGCGTGATTTGGGCAGTAAATAATATTTTTAGAAGTAATGTTTTTTGTAAAGTTAAAGATATTGAGTGATTTGGGCAGTAAACTATTGTTTTTAAAAAAAATTATAATGAAGACAAATATGTATCTAAAAGTGTAAATGATGAGCACAAGCTCGTAGGTATGCTAAAGGTTCACGATTATCGAAATCGTGACAGAGTGCAACTAAATTATTATCTTGACGTATATATTTTGACTTGCGGTTTTCATGCGGGCCATGGATGCCATCTGCGGGTGCAGCCTATTGAAAGAATTATAAAACTTTGTTTCTTTCTCTCTCTCTCTTTCTTTCTCACCTGATAATCCTCAATTTTATTAGACCACATATTGTCTTCATCAATCATTTTTCTTACAAATGAGCTAAGTCGTTTATTTCCTAATATAACTCTATCAATTAGAAATGTTTAAAATTTACCCTTGAGGTGAATATTCCATATCGAATGCCACCCTTCAACACTATTATTTGTTCTACAAAGTCCTTGATCTACCCGATCAACCATATTCCACAAATTAATTCGAAAAAGAGCCTCACGATTAGCCAGATTTCTACCTATTATCTGATCACGGATCCAAGCATCTGCTACACCACCGTGATTCCCTTCATCTATATCAACTAAAGGTGCTTCATTTTCCATAATATAGCGGGGACCAATATAGGTATTAACAAAATACATGATAAGCTCTAAGATATAATTTAAATCAGACATGGTCATGGATACGGATATGGATACAGATAATACCAAAATGCCTGCGGATATCCGCTGTATCCGTCTGTGTCCGCCGTAAATATGGTACTAATTTAGTTTCCCCCCCAGTCAGTTTTTTCGAAAATTATGTAAAAATGGTCAGTCTGAACAACAATTGTAGAACCCATCGAGCTTTGTCGAATGACACCAAAATCAATAAAATCCGACTTGATTGGACCGAAATACAGACCCCTGAAAATTGAACAGCCATGGGGGTGATTTTTCGAAATAAAAAAAAGTTTACCCAAATGATAGCTCATTCGAAAGAGCTCGTCGAGCTGAGTCGAATGACACCAAGTTCAACGAAATCCGACTTGATTTGACAAAGTTATGACATTATTTAGACTTACCGGAGTCAACGATTATGTCATAACTTTGTCAAATCAAGTCGGATTTCGTTGATTTTGGTCTCATTCGACTCAGCTCGACAAGCTCTTTCGAATGAGCTATCATTTGTATAGATTTTCGTCTTTATGATTTTGTGACCCTGTGGTTTAGGGGTCTGTATTTCGGTCCAATCAAGTCGGATTTTATTGATTTTGGTGTCATTCGACAAAGCTCGATGGGTTCTACAATTGTTGTTCAGACTGACCATTTTTACATATTTTTCAAAAAAACTGACTGGGGGGGGGGGGGAACTAAATAAGTACCGTAAATATCCGGATACGGATACCAAAATACGTATCCGTGTCCTAGTCTGATTTAAATTGAAATTCTTAATACCCTGTAAATCAGCATTAGGCTCTAGTGTTGACATTAAGGCACAAAAATAATTATAGACATATTCAGTACGCACAAAGGCTAATGCCTACAAATAATTAATTAATTTATTCTTCTAAATTACCTGTAATGAACGAATACTCATTTGAAAGTCTTCATTATTTAAATAACGAGCATGCAGATTACCCAATGTTTGAATTTTTCTGTATAAGGCCTTACCAAAGTGAAAAAGACAGCCTGATTGGATTGAATTTGGAAATACGTAATAGCTGCCGCAATAGAGGCATGGACTCAAACGGCCGCGGACTCAACCGGCCCGATATTTTAAAGATTGGATGTTGAACGTTTTTGGCCGTGTAGATGAGTTAAGGATTGGATGAGTTGTATAGGAGCCCGTTTGGCCCGCCGTGCGATACTGAATCGTCCCCTACCCAATTTTTTTAAACAAATTTTTAAGAGAAAGAGAATGAAGAAAAGAGAGACACGAGAGAAAAATACAAAAATTTTGGCAAAATATAATCTTTTGGCGTTTTGTTTATAAATTTTTTTCGATAGATTTTCTGGGAAATTTTTTTATTTTCTTGCACGAATTTCATCATCCTCGTGATGATGAAAAATGTGATGCAAATGTATATTAAAATACTTTTCAAAAAAATTTCAGGGTTTGAGCTATTATTTGGACTTCTACAATGACACCAAAGCTTTTGGATCTGTCTGGGACGATTCTTGCAATATTGGGAGGAAATTACATCATGACCCATTGCCTAGCCTTTTAAAGGATTTTAAGGAATTATTTGAGGTTTGGTATTTTTTTAATTTTTTGTAGGCAATGGGTCATGAGGCAATTTCTTCTTAATATTTGCAAGAATCGTCCCAGACTGATCCAAAGGCTTTGTGTCATTGAAGAAGTCCAAATAATAGCTCAAACCCTGAAATTTGTTTGAAAAGTATTTTAATAGTTAAAAGAGCCTTTTTTGTTTTGGTTCAACAATGGAGTAGTAGCGGCAAAATCGCATTCACGGGACCCCATAACGGGATTTTTTCAAAATTTTTTACTGGACAGGATTCCGCGGGACTAATCCCGATAATCCCGTTCGTCATTTAAAAATCCCGAACCTGAATTAAGTCGGTAGGTTATTTTTTAAGTTTGGTATTTTCCTAACAAGTCTTATTTCTTTGCTTTTTTTATATTCATCCTTATTAATTTCCCTTTAAGAAAATGCTTTTTTCATCATTTATTCCAAAATGTTTTGGCCGAATTGAAGCAACATATTTTTATTCTAAAAAGGTTCATCTCTATTATGCAAATCCTAAAAATGTTGGTTCTCTGGATAAAAATAGTTTGGACATTGGCACCGGGATTGTTGGGGCACCTGCATGCGGGGATGTAATGAAATTGCAGATAAAGGTTATTTAATATTTTAAATGTTTTGTTGTCTTAGGGTTTCCCTTTGATTTGTAGTGGTTTCCCTTGTGGGACCCGAGACCTTGATTCGGAATATTTACTAATCGGTTCGGAAATCTTAACTTATTCGGCTAAGTGGTTGGATATGGACGTAACAGGTGTCATCCGACTCATCTCGGCTAACTGAGTTGACCGAGATACAGGGCTCGAAATTGGAAAAAATCCTAGCGGTCCAGGTTGATTTTTGAGGTAAAAAATAAAATTGCAAATTATAACTCGATTGAAAGGGCTCATCAGAAAGAGTCAAATGACATCGAATTTCATCAGTTCCGTGCGTAAAAAACTGATCACAAGCTGTTTTCCAGAAAAGATTCAGTTGGTCATAACTTTGTCAAATCAAGATGGTTTCTGTGTCATTCGACTCATTGTCAGCCTGACGAGCTCTTTTGGATGAGCTATAATGTTACATTCGAATTTTCTTTTCCAAAAATGAGATTGTTTTCCCCTGTGGTTTTTTAATTTCAGGGGCCTATATTTTCGCAAGTTTTCGTTTCCTAGTAAAAAAGATTATATGTATATTTTCAGTTCTGCGAGAGAATCGATTGGTATATATGTCAGTCTTGGGTCCCACATAACATAGGCAGCCTTTTTATTTTTAAAAGGGTCGGATCTGTGAAACTTGTGTAGTTTAGGTGTACGCCTGTTTATTCGGAAGAACACATCTGACTACACAACATAAAATTTTTGAATTTTCATAAGGCCAGAAGTCAAAAATCTTCCTTTTATAAAGAAAATAAAAAGAAATAGGACAATCTCAGAACCGGATCAAATCCCAAATCCAGTGTAAAAAATTTCCCGGCCGTATTCCGGATAGCCAGACTGGATCTGGCCAGATTTTTCTGTATTAATCAGGTCCCAAAAAATACGGAGATCGCGAAAAAACCCGGATGTGGGAACCGGGCTGCGGAAAGATCCAGCCTGCGCCGGGCACTAATTTTTACTATTTTGGAGTTAATTTTAAAATTGCTCCTTCTGTTTTTATTTATCTGATTTTCTTAAAATTTAATTTTTCCCTTTATTTGGTATCGTGTTATCTCGCCAAAAGCTTGACTCGCCAAAGCTTGACTCGCCAAAAGCTTGTTTCGCCAAACTCCCAAAAGCTGTTGACTCGCCAAACTGTGGAAAAAAGCTTGTTTTGCCAAATAAATACCAAAACTTATTATTATTCAATTTGTTAATAAAACTTGGAATTTTTTATTATTTACCTCGCGGCGGAATAACCTGTTGCTTTTAGCCTGTTGGTTTTTAGTCTTCGCTGGAAAAACTGTTTTTGTGCCAGGTTGATTTTTGGGTTCAAAAATTCGATTATACAGATGATACCTCATTCGAAAGTGCTCGACGAGCTGAGTCGAATGACACCAAAATCAGCCGGTTGGATGATTCTGAACCGAATTATAACCAACTGAATCTTCGCTGGAAAAACTGTTTCTGTGATGCTACGGAGGGTAGGCCGGGCATGGTCTTCGCTACACGATGGCCGTGCTTCGCTGCGGTCGTGCTCGCTTCGCTCGCGGCGACCGTAGCGAAGCGGCGGCCGTCGTTCCGCTCGACATGCCCGGCTTCCTCCGCAGCGGCAAAAACTTTTTTCCGCGTAGGCATTATGTGAGAGGTTTCCACACTTTGTATTATGGATTTTGGAGGAGGATTATATTATACACAAAGAGGAGTTTTATAAAATTTTTCCACGGTTTGGCGAGTCAACAGCTTTTGGGGGTTTAGCAAGACAAGCTTTTTACCACGGTTTGGCAATTCAACAGCTTTTGGGGGTTTGGCAAAACAAGCTTTTTTCCACAGTTTGGCGAGTCAACTGCTTTTGGGGGTTTGGCAAGACAAGCTTTTGGCGAGATAAAACGTGCCGCTTTATTTATTAGGTTGATGAGAATGGAAAAATTACAGATGCAAAATTTAAGACTTTTGGTTGTGGTTCAGCAATTGCAAGTTCGTCATTAGCAACTGAATTGATTGTAGGACAACATTTGGACTCGGCTGCAAAAATAAAAAATCAACAAATTGCAAAAGAACTTTCTCTCCCTCCTGTAAAATTACATTGCAGCAGTTTGTATTTTTATTTTTAAATATTTTTAAGTTTACATTTTTTGAGAAATACATATATTTAAGGACTAATTAACTCATTGAAAATATTAATTGAATAAATATATAAAAATATTTTTTATTTTTTAAGTGCTCGCTGCTGATGCAGTTCAGGCTGCCATCAATGATTACAAAAAGAAACAAATGAATAAAAAATGAATTTGAATGTGGAAGAGGTTTAAAAAATTAAAATATATTATCTGACTTTTTCTTTATTTTCTCCTATATTTTATTTCGGTGGCTTATTTGTTTGTAAAATAAATTTACCATTATTTTAGCTTAAAATTTATTACTTTTAAAATGAATGTAAAAATTACTTTTTTTAACAAAAATTATTTTAACAGAATTTTTAAATTTCAAAAATGTTTTCATCATTTGAACAACAACATTTAATCTGTTTTTCATCCATCCGCCCAGAAAATACCGGTTAAGGACGATTCAACCTGTTGTGGTTGGAATTGTGGTTCTGGAATTCGCCAACCTGTAGCGTTGAGAGCTCTTCCTCCTGGACATCATTTGGAAAATAGAAGATGGTCTTTAGCTTCATTACCTTCATCTTCTGGATATGGGACGCCTGGAACGAATTCTGCTTACTCGGTTTATTTTTTAATTTTTGAAAAATCGAAGATTTAAAAATTTGTGAAGTAAAATTTTGACCACAAAAATTTGCGGACAAAAATTTTTTTTCTCTGCAAATTGTTTTGATTTATTAATTTTGGGACCAAATGTCATCCTAAAATAAATTATTCTCTTTTTCAGAGCCAATATTCTTCTCAAGAAAATTTGGCTAGCATTATTGGTGATATGCGTATTCGAGACCGTTTTGACAGTAATGAAAGCTATGCCTGCTGTTTAGGCGATGATTTTGGTGGTTTAATGCGTCCTCGTTCTCGTAGTTTAACGTTTGTTTTTTCTCTTAAATTTTCATAAAATTTCCTTTTTAGAAGCCCAGTCCCTCATTTATTTGAACGTTTGGGAGTCGATTCTCCAATGATGCTTTCTTCTGTTTACAAGGAAAGATTCCCTAAAGCCAAACTTCAAATGGAAAATCGTTTAATGCAATTTCTCACACAAAATGCACAATTGAGCGGATTTACTTCTCAAATGCTTCAAGTAAATATTGTGCCCCCTTCTCCGGTTTGTGAATTTTTTGTTGAATTTTTGTGCTAGAACATTAGAAAATGATTTTTGTGTTGAAATCAAAAGTCCGTAAAAATGATTTTTCTGTCATTTCTCTAAAAATGGGTCTGCTGACAAAATTTTTAGTTGTTTTAATTTTTTGTTTTTGGATCTTTTTTAAACTAATAGGGAAAAAGTGGGAATCATATACTGCTTAAAAATAAATTGAAAAGGCGTAATTATCCGTTTTTCTCTTCGTTCCTCTTTTGCTAACTGTCAGGGACTCATAATGGTCAGTCAATTATAAAGATCGGTATTATTTGGATATCGAGTCCCTGACAGTTTGTAAAATTTCAGGGAAGGGAAGAAACGAAGATTAAGGTTGGGAAGTAGTGTTTGGAAACTCGTATTTGGGTATAATTCTCTATATATGTCTCTTACGGCAAAAATAGAATTTACGAATACGAGTAAATTTTAAATTTCAAATATTGATGAGTGGAAGTAAAATTACCCCTTTATTTTTATGCAAGATTATTTTAAAATTAATTTTTTTAAAAGGAAATTGAGGAGGAGATCAATTATCAAACAACAATACCCCACCAATAATAACCTCCTCAACAATTTCCTCCTCCCCATTATTTGGTTGTTCAACAAATATTCCCCCAATAGACCCTCAATTATTACGTTTAATTTCTGATGGTGCTACACGTTTTTTACATCATCAATTATGTGAAATTGCTGCAGATTGTTTACAGAAAAGTCGGGATGATTTGTTGAATTGTGTTTATTTTTGTTCAATGTCTGTTAGATTGGATGAAACTTTGGCTGAGGTTTTTTTGAAAATTTTTTTGAGGGATTTTTGAAAATTTCTGAAAATATTTTCTAATTTTTTAAGAAAATTTTTTTTGGAATTTTCCGATTTTTCTAAATAAAAAATTATTTTTTTCCAATGGGGAGTTGAACCCATATATGATTTCACATAAAAATAGAGTATTATCCCCCTACACCAAAATATTAAATATTTAATGTCATTCAAATTTGGGGACAATTCAACTTCTTCGAAAATTTATTTTTCAATTTTAAGGCTGAAATGAAAGTCGGGCCAGAATCTTATAAATATTTATTTCGTCTAGTCAAACAAATGTTGATGATTGTTTCTAGAACTGCTAGACTTTTGGAATGCTTGGTTTGTTTTTATTTTTTTGAGGGAAAAAGAAATTTTTTTCTGATTATTTTTTTGACCAAAAAGTCATGAGAGTAACATTAAAATTGAGGAGATGTAAAGTTTTTTTGAATAGTTTTTCTTGGAATTTTTTCGAAAATATTTCAAAAATTTTTTCTCGAACCCTTTAACCTTTTAAATTACTAGGTCGTTTCATAAAAAGTTCGACCCTATCCCAAAATAAGGGCGGAATCGTTTATTTTTCATTACCTGAAAGGAAAGGAAAAATGGGAAAAAATTGAAAGGAAAAATGGAGACGAACGGACTCGGGTCAGACAAGGCACGGACGGACTCGGACACACGTCCGTATTTGGTCTGACCCGAGTCCGTTCGTCTCCATTTTTCCTTTTAATTTTTCCTTGCTTTAGTTAATGAAAAAAAAACGATTCCGCCCTTATTTTGGGATAGGGCCAAAAGTTCTTTTTACAAAAATGGTTGTATACTTTTTTGTGGTTTTTCAAAATATTTGAAATTTTGCGTATTTATTCTTTCGAGTGTTTCCTAACAGACCCCAGAATTTGAGAATTTTTGGTTCAGTATTCAAGGAGTTGTGGTCGAAAATCTGAAAAGCATCGGGGTTCGAGCCCTCTCGAGCACATGTAATTGTAATATCTATTGTAATATATCATTCGAAAGCTTTTAAAAACCTCTATCAGAGGGCCTAAGTGCCGAATTTATCATAAACGGGAATGTAGATTTTCAGAAATGTCGAATTCCGTGTTAGGCACGAGTTACAGACCTTATTCTTCGTATTCAAAACCGTTTTCAAGATAGGATGATTTTAAGCACAGTTAGCAAAAACATTTTTTGGGGGGATGTGTAACATAGTTTTCGACAACAACTATTTAGGCGATTAGAACTCCCTGAATACTGAACCAAAAATTCTCAAATTCTGGGGTCTATTAGGAAACACTCGAATGAATAAATACGCAAAATTTAAAAACTTTTGAAGATCTACAAAAAATTCTATGCCCATTTTTGTAGAACGAACTTTTTTATGAGACGACCTGATAAAAAAATTTTTTTAATTTAAAATAAATTTTTATAGCAATTCAATCCTGATGAATTCTATCAATTACTTGGAGATGCAGAAGTTGTAGTACGTGAACAATTAGGTTTTGGTTCTGCTCGAGTTCCAGATTTGCCTCAATATATTTTGACAAAATTGGGATTAAATAAAAATTTGTCTTCTTTGGAAAAAAATATTGGAGAACAAACCGGGGATGGGGTTGGTGAGGAGGAAGAGGAAGAAAATGAGGATGAATTTGGACAGAATAAAGGTCAGAAAGATGCTCAATTGACAGCACACGGTGTTCTTTGTTATTTTTTTTATTTTTGGGATATCTTGATAGGTTAGGGGTATGCAGAGGTTTTCTAGTTTTTGGGGGTTTCAACGACTTTTTCGTTCAAATGAGACGTCCCGTCCCTGATATAGGTAATATAAGGATAGAGAGTAAGTCGATAGGAATTGAACTTGTTTGGGGTGATTTCCAAGGCAGATTTGCTTCTAGCCATTATTTGAATACAAAACTTATGAGAAAAAAAAAGAAAAAGGATTATTTTGGGGGCATAAAATCAGCAATCTTTGAAGGGAAAAATTTTCAAAACGCATCAACTCCCCGACTCTTTTTCAATCATTTGTTTATGCGTTCCGAAATGCTTCTTATTTTAGCACTTTGCCGATCGCCATTTCCTTGTAATTGTAACTCATTTTTTAATTTGAATTTTTAATTGAATAGGGTAACTCCTCCTCTAAAACTCCTCCAATATATCTAACAAAATCTATCTAACCATTTCACAAATAATTTTTTTTTTAATTTTATAAATTTTGTTTTAATGTTCAATACTTTTTTCATCACTGAATCGTCTTAAAACCTCCCGATAATGTCGCCCTTCTTTTTTCCCAATGCCTGATCATTTTGAACTTTTTTTTTGTTATATAATTTTTTAGGGTGGGGGCTAACTCAAGGAATGGCCAACTTAAGGAATATTTTAAAAATCAGAATATTCTGAGAAATCAGAATTTTTCACAATTTTTTTTAAATTCTGTTTTTTAAAGGTGTTCTAAACTGTTTTTAAATTCTTATTTTTTAAAAATGTTCAGATTTTTCAAGAAATTTCGATTTTTAAAATATTCCATGAATTGGTCATTCCTTGACTTGTCTTTTCCTTGACTTGTCCGTTCCTTGAGTTAGCCCAACACGAATTTTTTATTTATGTATTATTCGAAAGATCTCTTCGAGCTTGGTCGAAGGATACCACGTTCGGCTAGATCTGATGATTGGGGTGTGTAATTAAATGGAAATTAGAGGTGGGTCGGAATTCCTATTTCCGAGAAAAAATTTTGATTTCCGACTTTTGAGCCAATTCCGATTTCCAACTCTTCCGAGTTCCGACACCTCTGACTGTTCCGACCCATCTTTGATGAAAATCCATATCTTTTCCTGAATTCCTTTGACTATGAAATGTACGAAAAACATGTTTTTGGCTTGTTTTAGGGTTTCTAGTAGATGGTCTTTAAAATCCATATTTTCCATATTTAGCATTTATATCCATATTTTATATCAATATTTCTCCTTTTTTGCATATTTTGGTCCATATTTGGTCCTTTTTTGGTAAATTTTATTAAAAATTGGCGAAAATTTTCAAAATGTTGGAAATTTTTGGTCAAAAATTTTTCGCAAAAATTTATTTTCACAAACATTTTAACAGAAACTTTAAATTTTTTAAATCTTTTCGCTATTTTTTGATCCAGATTTCGGGATTTATATCCATATTTTATTGGTGTGCGGACATATTGGGATTGCTGTGACAAAAATAATTTCTTGTGTGTTTACATTTGTTCTAAAATATAAAAACTCTATTCTTCAATAGGACAATATACTATCCAAGACCCTGTGGCCGTAGGTCCCGAAATCAGTAGGGTAACATATTCCCGATATGTCTGTGTGCCATTTTATACCCATATTTTTCGATTTTATTTCCATATATGTACAGTGTGTTAAGAAATTATAACCCCCCTTGAATTTTTTTAGTTTCTCTATATTCCCGTTGTCTGATTGTTCTGAAATTTTTGTAGTAGCTTTCTAATGCATATTAATTAATATTTACAAAAAATCTTTAAAAATTTCCGATTTCAGACTTTTTTTGGCCGTTTTTCCAAAAAATTAGTGTTAATAAATTATAACCCCCCTATATTAAAATTTTTTTAACACACGAGATATCTCTACAAAAATTTTTCTGAACATATCTACCAATATAGATAAAAAATATAAAAGAAATTAAGTTCTGATGTACTCCCATCATCGAGATCTTGAAATTCGAAAATCAACGTAAAACTTGGGTAAAGGTCTTTAAAAAATATTTTCGACCCCTTACATGTGAAATAAAAATTTCATTTTAAGCTTATCTGAAAGCCCTTTAAATTTGCTATAAATTTGTTTTTATCTCATTATACAGAAAAAATTCACCGTCGAGAGCCAAAGTGATAAATCTTCAAGTCATAGAAATCACTCAAACGCCCCCAAAAATAGATAGAATTTTAATTTATAAATTAAACTCACCATTTCTTATAGTAGGTTAATTTTTTTCTGAAAATAAAATTAATGCTATCTTGTAGCAAATTTAAAGGGCTTTCAGATAAGCCTAAAATAAAATTTTTATTTCACATGTAAGGGGTCGAAAATATTTTTTAAAGACCTTTACCCCCGTTTTACGTTGATTTTCGGATTTCGAGATCTCGATGATGGGAATACATCAGAACTTCATTTCTTTTTTATTTCTTATCTATATTGGTAGATATGTTCAGAAAAATTTTTGTAGAGATATCTCGTGTGTTAAAAAAATTTTAATATAGGGGGGTTATAATATATTAACACTAATTTTCTGGAAAAATGTCCAAAAAAAGTCTGAGATCAAAAATTTTTAAAGATATTTTGTAAATATTATTTAATATACATTACAACACTACTGCAAAAATTTCAGAACAATCCGACAACGGGAATATAGTGAAACTAAAAAAATTCAAGGGGGTTATAATTTCTTAACACACTGTAATGTGATTATTCTATATTATTCGATATTTTGGGATAGTTTGGCGATATTTTGGGTGTCAATATTCATGGGTGTACATATATTTTTATATTTATTTTTCAGAAATCTAAAATTAAAATGTCACATTTCTTTAACAAAAATAATAAAATTGACCATTCATTTTTAAATAATTTTAAAGGATTGCCTTTTAACCCTCCCAATTTGAACAATTACAAAATGGATATTTTTATAGCCTCTTCGATAGGCAATTATTCTCTTGTTGAGGTTATTCAATATTAAAATAACCCACAAATAATTTATTTTCCTAGGAATACATCCTCAACAACAAAGCATCTGTGAACTACAAAAACAACAAGGGATGGACCCCACTTATGTATAGTGCTCAAAGTGGAAATATGGACGTCTGTAAACTTCTTTTGAAAAGTGGGGCAAATCCAGAAGAAATCAACAATGAAGGACAAAATGCAAGAGATTTGGCTGCCAATTGGGGTCACCAATGTGTGGTTACCCTGATGAACGAAGTCTTGATTTGGTAATAATTTAGTTTGTGTCTCCTCTTTTTTCTTTCTTAATAACTTCTTAAGGCTCTAAATTATATGGAAAGCATATTTTTCCTTAATTGCTTGGGGGTCTGAAACGCACGAAAAACACTATTCAATTACTTGTTGAGAGTCCGATTTTAAATACTATATTTTTATTTTTTTGTTAATAAAATAATTATTTTAGAACCTTCGAGCAATTCTTTATGCAAAATTTGGTGATAATATTCAATTGGAGGATGAACAGAATAATGGCGAATAATTGACAAATAAAATATGAACTCATTTGTTTTTATAAATTTATTTTTGACGTTAAATTTGTTTACAAAGGAAACTGGGATGAGTCAAATGATACCAAAATTTCTTTAATTCGATGTTTCTAAACAAAATTTCAATTTAACTTTCGCTGGAATGACTTTTGTGTCGCTATGAGGTGGTAGATCTTCGTTTAAAGTTGAGAATTAGTAAAAGGAACAGATTTAAGTAACTTGTGCAGAACCCAGTGGCCGTCGACCCGGAAAAATAATTTTTTCGAATCTTAATATATTAAAAGTCAGTTGGCCCTTTTATCAGTTGGCCCCTTTATAAGGGAAAGTCCTTTGACGAAAATTCGTGCCACCCGCTCTCATTGCCCGCTTTCAGTTGGCCGCGCCAGTTGGCGGCACTCACCTGGCCCGTTCTGCTTTTTAGAGGTAGACGAGAGATAATGAATGCCTGTCGACTTTCGATTTCAAAGATTTTTGTCGATTTTCAAATACAATATTCGTATTTTATCACAAACATTACTAAAATACACACATTTTTTACGTTTCCTCCAATTATTTTTTAAATTCTTTTTTCTTCATGCAACGATCAATTTAACCAATATAAGCTAGAAAGCACTTGTTTTTGAATCATTTCCTCATTTCTTTCATAAACCTCTAAATAAAAAATATTTAATAAAAAACATGCTTTTCCCTTGAAAATACATACTAAAAATGATTTTTTCTGTTTATTTTTATTATTATTTTTTGGCCAACAGCCATTATACTTTTCCTTATTTTCTTCCTCATTTCTTTAAATAACTAACACATATGTTGAGCATCTGGGCATTTTCTAGGCTTAAATCTTCGTGTTTTGTTAGTATTAAATGTGTTTTTTTGGATTAGACTAATACTTTAGAAAAACATTATTAAAAACATTAGTTAAAACTTGAGACAATACAACAAATAAATTAATACAAAAACATTAGGACATACATGTTGAGAAAAACATGTTTGTCTCGTGTTTGTGTTTTTAAACTTTTTAAGTTTGTGTTTTTACAATTTTTTCAAGTTTATTTTATTGTGTTTTCAAGTTTGTTTTATTTTATTTATTGTGTTCAAGTTTGCATTCTTGAAAACAAATTTATTTTAAGTTTATTTTATTTTTCCTTTTTCAAGTTTATTTTTTGTGTTTTTAAGTTTGTTTTGTATTCAAGTTTGTGTTTTTAAGTGTTTAGCTTGTTTTCAAGTTTACAAGTTTTTAATATGTTTATAATTTTGCTATACATTCTAAGTTTATTTATTTTTACTATTTTTAGTTTATTTTTAATTATTTTAAAAATTTAATTTTTTTTCTATTTTAATATCGTTTTCTTTTTCTCGAATATTTTTACAATTTATTTATTTAAATCCAATCGAGAATCATATTTTTTATTTTCTCTTTTTTCACTTTTTTCATTTACAAATATATTTAATTCTTTTTAAAATAAATGTTAAATCGACAACACCGCAAAAAAGAGGGTCAATCACAACATACAAATACAACAAAAACATAAATGTTTAGTGATGAGTCGTATGGGAATAGGCTTTATGTTTAAACACATTTTTATTTTTTTTTGTTTATTTTTGATGATTTTACAAAGGGTTGAAATATTAAAAATAATTTTTTTAAGTCTATCAATATTTTAGAAAATTTATTTAGAATCTTCTTCAATACTATAGACATTTTATTTAATTTTTCTTTAACTCTTTTTGGACAAAAACATTGTGTGGAAGTAGTTTTGTTTTTAATTATTTAATGCACATTTATTAATTAATATTAAAAACATTGTAAAAAACATTTTTTAATAAAATAAGCATAGAAACAAAAATGGTAAAACACAAACATAAAAGATTTAAAGAAATAAACTTGTTTTTGCCTATTAATTCTACTATTAAAATACACAACAAACAACTCCCCCTTATGTTTTATTTGTTTTAAATGTTTTTGTTTATTTTTCATCAAGTTTTAAACAAAGTTTATTTTGTTTATTTTCAAGTTTTACTTAATGTTGGTTGTTTTCAAGTTTATTTTCTTTGTTTATGTTTAGGTTTTGTTGTTCAAGTTTTGTTTGTTTTCCCAAGTTTGTTTTCTAATGTTCATTTTCAAGTTTATTTTCTTCATGTTTTGATCCAAGTTTGTTTTCATGTTTTGTTCAACAATTTTCTTCTTTATTTTCCATAAAAACATGTTTGAATCATTAAATCTTTTTCTTAGCTTCTATGTAAAAAAAGTTTATTATTCTGTCGCTGATTTCGCTAGCCACTAATCAACCCCCGCGCTATTTTGTTGAATTGCGGAGTGGATAAGCCTTTATCGGAAACATTGCAAAGTCGTAAAGCCAGCCGAGTGGACAATTTGTCTTTTCCTCTCATTATTTTAGTTATTTGTTACAATTCAATAGATTCTTTCGGAGAAGGGCTTAAGAGACCCTTTGAATGGAAAAAAGAGCAAAAAAAAGGGGGGTAATCACATTTTTGTTTGCGGTTTTCCAATCAAGCAAAAAAAGCGCTAGCTAAATAATAGATATATTTACAATAATGCTAACTCTTCTCTCTTTATTTAATTTATTTGATTCACCAACTAATTTGTAAAAGTTTCAAGTTTTTTTATTTGTTTCAGTCTACATATCTAATAATTAAAGTTTATGTTTACCATGTTTATTTTAGCTTTATTTTAATGTTTTGCTTCAATCTGTATTATTGACTTTTAAATGTTTGTTTCAAGTTTTCAAAGTTTTTTTATTTGTTTTTATTTTTATTTAAATGTTTGTTTTAAGTTTACTTTGATGTTCATTTCAATGTTTAGTTCATTTACATGTTTATCTTGATGTTTTTTGAAGTTTGTCTAAATGTTTATTGTTTATTTAAACTTGGTTTCAAGTTTATTTAATTATTAATATTTCAAGTTTTACAATATTCTAAGTTTATTTTATATTTATTTTCAAGTTTGTATTTGTGTGTTTTTGAAATTATTTCAAGTTTGTGAAATAAACAAGTTTGTAAACTTGTTTCAAGTTTTAAACAAGTTTATTTATTTTTGTATTAATTATATCTGCTATTTCCCCTATATTAAAACAAACTTTATTTTAATGTTTTGTTTGGAATGTTTAAACAAAAACATAATTATTATTGATCCACGTGTGTAATATTTATTACAATTTTTTCTATTATTTAAGTATCTATCACAAGTTATTTATATATTTTCATCTCCCAGCCATAATTTTCTTTCTTTTTATTAGTGCGCGGGTCATCTCGAGAGGATGATTAGACGGGAATTAATGAGAAGAATGGAGGGTAAAAGGGAAGATTTTAAGAAAGGATTTTAGAGAGAATTTAGGGGGGTTAAGAAGAAGAGGAGAGTAATTGAAGCTATGGGGAATTGCAAAAAGATGACCATCATTAATAAAAAATTAATTTTAAAAGGAAAAGTTAAATATGTGGGGATCTTTGTTTCAGGGAGAATAAAAGTGAAATAACCCCGAAGGATTTGATTTTTGTTCTCTTTCTTTAAATTTCTCCTCATTTTCACCATCCATCTTTTTTAGTTCCTCAAAGTTCGCGCATTAATTATTTCTTTGTTTATTCGTTGTTTTCCCAACCAATTAATTTTTAAAAATTTAATTTTCTAGTTAATCAGTTTTGTCTTTTTTCACCTACAAATCAAAGAATTAATTAAATTAAATGACGATGAAAATTTTATTACAAAAATTGTGTAAAATAGTTTCACTTAATTAAATCTAAATCCTTTTAATTACGCGTACTTGTTAGTAAGCAAAATAAAAAATTTTACAATTTAATGAAAACGCGTATTTACGTATTTCTATTTTATTTGTATTTAAACACACTGCTTTTTGTTGATTACAATCGATTAAATTTTATTTAAACTTGAAAACTTTAAGTTTGCAAACTTTTTTTAAAGTTTATTCAATTTTGTGAAAGTTTTCAAGTTTGTTTATTTTATTTAAATTTATTACTTTATTCAAGTTTATAAACTTAAAACTTTAAGTTTGCAAACATTCTTTAGCTAGTTCAAGTTTAATTAATTTATTCAAGTTTATTTTTTAATAATTCAAGTTTAAGCTTAAATTATTCAAGTTAATAAACTTTAAAATTAAGTTTATAAACATTGTTTAGTTTATTCAAATTCATGCTTAAACAATTAGGTTTATTAGGTTTACTGAGTATTTTATTAAAATAGTGTTTCAAGTTTTAAGTTCAAGTTTATTTTTTCACAACATGTTTCAACTTTATTAATCTTATAATTCAGGTTTATCATATTCGCTTCAAGTGTATTTATTATTTATTTTTTCAAGTTTACACAATTCTAAATTTTAAACTTGCTTTCTTCTTCTCTCTTATGCTTCAACTTACAATCTTGCAAAAATTTTTTAAACTTTAAATTCCCCAATTTTTCGTTTCACCGCACACTTTTTTGTGTTTTAGTTTATCTCTACTTAACTTTTATTTTTCCCCTCTAAACCCAAAAATTCACCGACCTGTATATATTTACCCTTTGTGTTTAGCGGTTGCTCGTCCTTGAATTCCTCTACACACGGGTTTAACGACTGATGCGCACCCAAGATTTTCTTTTAACTAATAAATTAAATAATTCATATAGTTTCTTCTTCTTTTCCGGTCTTTTTATTTTTATCTTTCAATTTTTATTATTTTTTTCAAAAAATTTTTTAATTAAAAAAATTTTTCAAAAGAAATTTTATTTTACCTAATTTGTAAAGGTTCAAGTTTATTTTTAGTTAATTGTAAAAGTTTCAAGTTTGTTATAAATTTATTTTAAAGCTTCAAGTTTATTTATTTTATTCAAGTTTATTTTTATATACCTAATTCAAGTTTATTTAATTTTTTAAAGTTTACTCTCAAAGTTTTAAGTTTTTACTTTTATTTTGCTTCAAGTTTATTTCCAATTAATTTTAGAATCTTCAAGTTTATTTATTTTATTTCATATTTAAATTATGTGTTTCAAGTTTATTTAAATGTTTCAAGTTTTTTCTCAAGTTTTTATTTATATTTTTTGTTTCAAGTTTATTTTCAACTTTATTTATTTCAAGTTTTTTATACATAATATATTTAAGCTTTATATTATCTATTTTATGCTTGTATTTAAAATTTTTGCCAAAAATTTTTTTCAAAAATTTTCAAAAAAAAAAATAATTTTCAATTTTACTTAAAAATTATTACTGATTTTTTCTCTTCTTTTTTTTCTCCTTTAGATTTTTCCTTTTCTAAATCCAATTCCATTTATTTTTTCTTCCCCCAAAAACCTCCAAACCATAAGCTGCGCACACAAATATTTTATTTATTTATGCTATATTAAGTCCAGCACACGCATAAAAATAAATAAATAAAATAGCTGCAATTTGTTATAGGTAAATTGTAACCGCGCTGGTTTTATGTCTTTTTTATAAAATAAATATTTTTTATTTATTTTCTTTCTTTTGCGCATCTTCTGTGATGGTGGTCATTTCCTCTATTTTATTTAAATAATAAATTAAATGGGGGAATATTTTTTGGCGTTTTTACTCTGCTAACTAATTCTTCACCTAATTTTGATAGCCATATTTGGAAACTTCCATTATTTTTATTTACCTTTGCTTCAAGTGTTTTTAAAAATATGCAAAGCATATAGCTATTGAATTTCTAAGGCTGAGCAGTAGGCGGCGTGATGTAATCGCTAACACATCAGTCCGGTCTACCGAAGATGCTGGTTCGCTCCCAGCCGCCAATTAACCTTTTGCACTAGCTAAAGGAGAGAAATAGCTATAGCCCCGTTGCTTTACTATTAATTGTAATTGTTTCAAGTTTATTTAAATCAAGTTTATTTTTCTTTGCTTCAAGTTTATTTATTATTCTTTTAAGTTACAATTACAAAAGCTTCAAGTTTATTTTTTTGTTTCAAGTTTAAGCTTATATAAAAAATTCTTCATATTTACTTAAATTTCTAAGTTTCAAGTTTATTAGGGTTGTATTTTTGCCTTATTTTCTCTTATATATTTTTTTAATTTATTTTTGCTTCCATTATAAATAAATTATAATTAAATTAAGGAAAGATTTTAAAAAATTTTTATTTTTGTGAGTATCTCATTCAAAACAATTTTAAAAAGAAAATTTTAATTTTATTATTAAATATTTTCTTTAAAAATTTTTTTCTTTGGCGGACCTACAAATTGAATGATAAACATTTTTAGATTAATTTGTGTTGAAAACACCAAGCAGAAACCAGTCCCTTTAAATATTACAAAGACTTCTTCTTCCCCCTTAATACTCCTTTATAACCACAAAATTGATTGCGCGATGTTTAATATATAAAAATATTTTTATTACAAAATAATGTGTCCGGCACTAGTTAGCCACACACACACGCAGAAAAAAAATTAAAAAAATTATTTTCGTCTTCAATCAATTTTCCCATCGATCAGTGATTTTGTGGTGTGGGCAAATATTTATATAACTTGACTAATATTTTTTCATTAATTTTTTTATTAAAAAGTTATATGGGTGTTTTACACATTTAATTAAATTATAATATTTTTGATTTAAAACTGAAACTTTCACAAACTTAAAAAAATAAACTTGATAAATACAATCTAATAATAATAATTCTTTAAGTTTACAAATTTATTTAAAAATAAACTTGAATTTATTTTTTAAATATTTCAAGTTTATTTATCGTTTGTAATCTCAGTTTACTTACAGTTTGCAATTTCAAGTTTTTTTCCCAAAATTATTTTTTAAACTTGAAAATTGCGATCTTAACTTATTTTTTATTACGTGTGCAAATTAGTCTACTTTTCAAGTTTTTGGTTTTTTACAATTGTAAAATATCGACGATAAACACAAAATACCTATTTTGTAATTTGTTTACTTATTTTCCACAAATTCAAACAAATGTGCAAACTTAATAAAAAAACATTCTGAATATTCATTCAAAAACTGTAAAACTTTGTTCGGCTAAAATATGTATTCTGGTTTTATCCATACACTAGTTTTGTTAGTATAAACTAGTAATATTTATTCTTAAGTTTACAAACTTGAAATTAAACTTGAATTTTAAATAAACTTGAATTTATTTGCATTTTGTATTCCTTTCCAAGTTTATTTTTTAAACATTTTTCAAGTTTATTTTACGTTTGTAATCACAGGTTTAATTACAGCAAGTTTATTTACAAATTGTAATTTAAAGTCTGTTTTCAAGTTTCTTTACAAACTTTCTTTACAATTTGTAAACTCATTTATCAATACATACTTATGCTTATTCTATCATCTTAAAAATAAATTTCTATAATTATTTCTACTTTCAAATAATTTTTGCAAAATCTGTCACAGCTACCCTCCAACAACACAAATTCCTTCATTCCTCCCATCTTTAATAGTACACATTTTTTACCACAATTTTTTTTAAATTTTTTTTCGACTGGCGCGCGATAAAAGTTGCAACCCAAATATTTAATATTTATTATCTAATTAATCGTGAAAAAAATTTTTTCTTTAATATTAAAAATAATCAGCAGTGAAAAAAATTTATAAGGTGTTGAATTTTATTTAAAGAATATTTTTAGATGAAATGCATAAATTTCAAAATAACCGAAAAATCGAAAGAGAAAGCAGAGAATAATGATTCAACTATTAAAATAAAAATTATTCACATAAATATTTTTTCATTTTTTGATAACCACAAACAAACAGCTAACATAAATATTTATCTTTATGTATTTTATTTAAACAAACATTGTTTGGGTATATTAAAAATAACCACGTTTCTTTGAAAAAAAGTTAGGGTTGTAAAACATTCTGATTTTTTCAAGTTTATTTACAAAGTTTACAAACTTGAATTAATAAACTTAATAAACTTGAATTAAATAAACTTGAATTTAAGCAAGCGAATTTATTTCAAGTTTCTACTTATCTTTTTTTAAGTTTATTTATTACACTTAAGTTTGTAATCTAAATTTTTCTTCTTTTATAATTTACTTTTACAATCTCAAGTTTATTTTTTATCTTAAGTTTATTTGTTGTATTATTATCAGCTTATTTATATCAAGTTTGTAATTTTATTTTTTTTTTCTCTTATATTTTAATGTTGCAATTTCAAGTTTATTTTCGCATTAATTTATTTATTAAGTTTGTATTATTATTCAATGTTTTTTCAATAATTTAATAAATATTTAGCTATTTATTATGAAATAATCTCTGTTGTCTCTAAGCCTGGCTCTATTTAGTTTATATATGAAATAGATAATGTACGAGTCTAGTCAAGTAATAATCTTTTAAATTAAATTAATAAAAAAAAAGATTTTTTAAAGAAAAATCATTCCTCCTCATCAAAACGACAGCAAAAACAGCAACAACAATTAAATGGCCATACTAATGGCCGAATAGGAAGTGGAAGACGAGTACATGTTTTAGACAACAATATTTATTCTCAACAACATCCTAGTAAAATGGTTGTTGATCATACTTGTAGTAGTTCCCCCCAACAATGTGATTGTTGCCCCTATGGTTACCACATTGATTTGGGTTTTGTAAAATTCGCTGAAGATATTGCTGCGGGGAAGGAACAAATACAGGCACATTTTAATTTTATTTTCACTAAAAATCAGAATTTTTGAAGAATTGGTCAAATGAGGAAAAGAAGCGGAATCGTCGATTGTTGGCATCACCCAGTTCTGACAAGACCATGCTGGACTTGTCTGGTTCTGACATTGCAAATATTAGTTCCTCATACCCCGCTAATGATTCAATTCTTAGGTGAAATAATTTTAAAAATAATTTTCTGATACTCTTTACAATAGTACAAATTTCTCCCCTTACATGGAGGAAGAAGAATTGCCAGAATTATTAGAACAACAAACTCACCAACAATATCAACAACAACCACATTTTAATAATAATTCTAACATTTGTTTTAACAATCAACAACAAAATGGCAACAACAAACACAATTTAACAAACCGCCAAACATCCTCTATTTCTCAACAACAACAATTACAAAGCATTTTAAAGAAAAATGCTGATGTTTGGAAACAAGGAAATATTAGTAATTCGCAAACTCAAGTTTTAAGGAATATAAATCAACAGGTGTTTAAATAAAATAAACATTTTTATAAACTTGAGATTGTAAAACATATTGATGGTGAATTAAAGTTCAAATATCTTACAAATTGTAAAATTAAGGTTTATTTATTTTACTAATTGTAAAATTAAAGTTTTAATTTTACAAATTGTAAAATTAAGGTTTAATTATTTTACAAATTGTAAAATTAAGGTTTATTTATTTTACTAATTGTAAAATTAAGGTTTATTTATTTTACTAATTGTAAAATTAAGGTTTAATTATTTTACAAATTGTAAATTAAAGTTTTATTATTTTACAATTTGTAAAATTAAAGTTTAAGTATTTTTTAATTAACGATTGGCATTTTACAATTATTAAAAATAGACAACATTTACATTATTGTTTTACATTTTATTTTTAAAACATTTGTAAAACAAGTCATAAAAATTTGAAAATGCAAATTAAATTTTCAGTTTTCCTCCAAAGAAATGTTAGGGCAACATCGCTCACCAAAACAACAACATCAAAGCCGTTTCTATGAAACTCATGTTCAGCAACACAGACAACAACCTTTTTTTCTCTCGAAAATTGAAAATGCCCAATTTATTGATGAGGGAGAAAATAGTTCATCTCCAATAAATAATTTTAGTGCTATGACACCGCTAAGAACTAGCACTCCTAAAGGTTAATAACTTAGACTTACAAACCCCAAGTTCAATCTTAAAATAGATAAAGAAATTTTCAATTTTTAAGATTACAAATTTCAAGTTTGTAAAAATACAAGCTTATTTCAAGTTGTAAATTGCAAACTTAAAATTACAAAATTTATTTCAGCCTTAAATAAATCAACTTGTTTTTCAAGTTTACAATTTGCAAACTTACTTTTTTCAAGTTTAAAAAATAAAACTTGTTTCTGTTGTAAATTACAAACTCAAAATTACAAAACCTATTCAACTTAAAAATAAATAAACTTGTTTTTTAAGTTTACAGTATTAAATTAATAATTACCCCTTTTTTAAGCAAATTTAGAAACACAATATCGCCTTCCACTACATATAGCCACAAGTGCATTTGATGCCGATGGCTATGGAGGAGCAACATCTTCAGCCCCGTCTTCTCCCGCCTCCTCCTTTCAACACCTACCCTCTTATCAAGCAACTATAGCTCATGACTTAGCTCAATTAAAAAAGACACCTTCGAGAGGGGGAGCAGTAATACCCACAAAAACGTAGCTAAATTCAAATTCTCTTCAAAATTAATTTTTAAATTCATTTTTAGACAGCCTTACACATCAATTGCCTCATTGTCAAGCTCTGCCCGTGGTGCTTTCAACACCAATATAAATCGTCAACAACATGTTATATCACCAGAGCCCAGAATGCTAATACAAAATCATCAAATTAATGGTAGCCGTCAACTAGCTAATGATACTATGCTTCGTTCCTCTAACTTACAAAGTCGGGCATATTTTCATCAAAACATTGGTGGGGGTGTTTCTTCCGAAAATGATTCTGGTAAGTTTTCAAGTTTTAATTATTTATTTATTGTAAAAACAATTGTAAAACAAGTTTTAAGTTGTTAATTTTATAAAACTTGAAATTCAACTTGTTTGTATATTTAAGTTTGCAAACTTTTTATGTTTAAACAAACAAGTTGGAAAAATAAGGAAAACTTGAAAATACAAAAAAGTTGGTTAGAAATTGTAAAACTTGTAAAATAAACTTATTTACAATTGTAAAACAAATTCGGGTTTATTTTTTTTCAAGTTTATTTATTGTAATTATTACTTATTTATTATTTTCAAGTTTATTTATTATATTTAAGTTTGTAATCATAAGTTTTCTATTCTTATATTTTAATATTGCAACTTGTAATATTAATTTATTATACTAAATTTTTAATTGTAAAACCTGTTTATTTTACAATTATTTTTAAATACAACCTTATCAATATTTTCAACAATATTAAGCTGCAACGCGTTTAATACCTTATCGTTCCCGTGGAGGTACAACTCCCTCATTCTCTCAACAGCAAAATGGTAGTTTATCTCATTTGACTCACGGAGGCGGTAGTGTAGCTGGATCAACATTAGAACTCACCGAATTTGCAAGTGTTCGCCGTCGACGTTTGGAGGCAGATATTGGAGGAGCACGTTCTCCAGTAATGCCATCCGCGCATTTGGTTCGATCTGTTTCACCGCCAATGGTTTGAAGAAGATTTTTATCAAACTAATGTTTCACCCTTCAATTTAAGCATTTTCCCGCGTCGAAAACAACTCCAATTGGTGGCAATATTCAATCAAACTCTTTTTCCTATTCGTCTGTTAATAATTTGGCTTCAGCTTCATCATCGTCCCAGTTATTAATGAGGTGGAAAAAAATTTTTAATTAAAGAAATTTTCAAAAAAAAATTTTAGAAATTACTCGAATCCATTATCAACCAACTACAATAAAATTATTGAAGAAACACATGACAACAACATTCAAGACTACCAACAAAAACCTTCAATTTCTTCAAAACATACTTTTCTGGAGGAAAATGAACTCGACGAAGCAATTCCCAAAACATCAACAAATAAAATAAATAAACTTAACAACAAAACAAACAAAACAACATATAATTCTATTAGTGCAGATTTTGTAAAACAAAAGAACAACAACAACATTCAAACAAAACAAGTTTCTTTTATGAGAAACTTTGGGACACAAACAATGTTTGCAACAAAACAGCCTGTTTTGAAGGTATAGAGTGTTTTTGAATATAAACATGTTTGTTGTCTTTTTTGTGATTTTATAAAACAAGTTGAAAATGTTGTTTTTAGGAAAAAACAAGTTTACAACTTGTTTAGCTGCTCAAAACTTGTTTTAAAAACAAAGCTGAATAGTAGATGTTTGTAAAACAAGTTTATTTAATTAAAACTTGTTTGTATTTTTATGAGTTGTAAACAATCATATAAACAAGTTATAAACGTATGTTTTTAAACAAGTTTTAAACTTGTTTGTAAAAACAAACACTTTAAAAAAACAATTTGTAAAACAAGTTTTAATTTTAGGATGTTGGAGTTGCTACTGATTCCAAAACTAATTTACCAAAGAAAATTCGTCTTAAGGAAGCTAGCACCTCTCCAGAGCCTATCATTCCACCAACCTCCAAATTTAAAGAATTGCCATTTTCATCATTTATTAAATTCAATTCTATTGGAGTAGGCACAACAGAAATAGAAGAACTTGAAGAAGAAATTAAAAATTCCTTTAAAAAGCCTCCCCCACAACCTCCTCCTAAACCTTCAAGGCCCGATTTAGAGGAAGAACTGAGAAGACGTCGACAGGCTGAAAGATTAGCCTCTTTGGTAACCGAGTTTCAAGTGAGAGAAAATAATTTTTAGGCTAAAAATAAAATTTTAATTTTAAAGTATTGCTTGGGGCACGAACCCGAACACCTTCCCTGTCAAGAACCTCCTCTATTTGATAAAATACAAAGTTTGAAAAATTTTCAATTTATTAAATTAATCTCAAACAATTTTTAGAAGTAGATAAAAGTGTGGAAACCATAAATTTACTCATCCCAACAATTAGCAAAACTACTGCAACCACTAGTACAACAGACCTAACTTTTTCCATAAATGTTGGTGTGGGAACATTGCAACCTGAATTAGTTGAAACATCAATGGAAACAGAAACAATCAGAAAATTGTAAAACATTTTTAAACTTGAAGATTAAAACAAGGAAATTAAAAATTGAATAAAACATTGAAAATAAACTTGAATTAAAACATGGAAATAAACTTGAATCAAAACATGGAAACAAACTTTAATTAAAACATGAAAATAAACTTGGATTAAAACAAGAAAAACAAAACTTGAAAATAAACTTTAATTGAAACATCGAAATAAAAACATGAAAATTAAAACTTGTTTTAAAACTTGAAGGGTAAAACAATAAAACTTAAATTAAAACATGAAAGGTGAAATATGAAAATAAACTTGAATCAAAACATTAAACTTCAAACTTGAAATAAACTTTATTTTTACAATTTAGACAAATTGGTGTACAAACAGAAAAAGAAGAATCCAAAGAAATTGAAAAATTAATTAATTATGAAACTGAAAAGAGGATTAAAATTGAAAAAGAAAAATTAAAACTTTTATTGAATGAAATTGGAAGCCAAACTGAAACAGATTGGTTGGAAAGAGAAATTGATATTAAATTGGCTGAAGCTGAAGCAGAAAGGTGGGGATTTAATTTTGTAATACAAATTGCAATTTAACACACTTGAATTGTAAAAAATTAATTAATTCTGGGAAAGATGATTTCACAAACTTAAAAATAAAATATAAAATAGAATTGAAATTCACTAAAAAAGGAAATTTAGTTAAGCTTGTACTTGCAAACAATTATAATGACATAAGCATATTTGAAATATAAAATAATAAACTTAAAAACACAAACTCGAACATGTGTAAAAAATAAACTTGAAAGAAACTTGTAATAACAAACTTGGTAACAAACTTAAACGAACACAAACTTAAAAATAAATAATAAACTTGAAAACACTCAAACTTGAAAAACAAATCGAATAAATTGTAAACTTGAATAAACTCAAAAACATTTTTTCTACAGAAAAGAAAAACGTAAGCGTTTAAGTATTGAACGGAGTACAGAAACAGATGACGAAGAATCCCCTGATCAATTCATCATGATAACTTGTAATAAATGTGAACAACGTTCTTCAATAGCTACTGACGAAGTTTTTGAGAAAATTGTTGATGAAACAATTTTACAGGTTAGCGATGTTGTTCAGCAACAAAACAACAAACAACAATTATTTTCTGAACAACATTCTTCTGGGGAAATTTTGGAAGTATTACAAGAAGAGCCCGAACTTGCATTAGCTACTAGCAGCAGAAATGAAGGAAATGATAGGGGAAATGAAAGAAGAAGCAAATTTATTAATACAAGCATTCCAAATTTTGAAGAAGTTGATATTGAAAGGGAGAAACGAAGCTATTCTGAGCCTGTTAGTGTTGTTGTACAAGAGCTTAAAGATCCTATTTCTGCTGTTTTTGAAGATATTCTTCCTTCAACTATTCCTGTAGTTCATTCCTTGAATCGAGACTGCAATGAGCTTTGTAGTGTGGACATGACTGATTTTGTTTCGATTTTAACTAAAGATGGAAACAAAGAAGAAAATAATAAATTTGTAGAATTAATTCCAAAAATAGAGGAAACTAAAACATTTAAATATTATCTAAAAACAATTGGAAGCAAAACAAAATTGTTGTCAAAATCAAGTGAACTTCCAAGCATTTCATTGTTGAATGAAGATATAGTGTATTTAAACAAGAAGGAGAAAACAACACAAAATGAACAACAAAAACATTTCGAACAAAAACATTCTGAATATTCTGAACAACAGTTAAATGAGGAAAAACATTTAGAAAACACCCAAAGTTTAGAAAAACAATTACATGAACATGTGAATCAAGAACAACAAAAACAAATAATTTCAGAAGTGTCTCAACAACATTTACAACATCAGAAAAAACATTCTGAACAAAAACATCCAGAAAACATCCAGTGTTTAGAACAACATTTACACGAACATTTAAATTCTGAACAACATTCTGAACAACAAAATGTTAAACAAACAAATTTAGAAATGTTTCAACAACATTTAGAACATCAGAAACAACATTCTGAACAAAAACAACAAGAAAACATCCAGTGTTTAGAACAACATTTACACGAACATTTAAATTCTGAACAGCATTCTGAACAATTTTCTGAACAACAAAATGTTAAACAAACAAGTTTAGAAATGTCTCAACAACATTTAGAACAAGAAAAACATTCTGAACATTCTCATTTAACTCAAGAAAAACATCTAGAAAACACCCAACATCATTTACAACAAAAACATTCTGAACAAACAAAACAACAACAAATTCAAAAACATGTTGTTTCCTCTTCTCCAATGAGTTCTGATGAGGGATTAGCAGAAGAAGAAGAAGAAATGTTTGACGAGTTTGGAGGACAAGAAATTGATTTACAATTACCGTTAGATATTGATGCTGATAGATTTTCGATTGACACGGATGTTCAAACTGTAATTTATGTAGAACAAGATGGGGGAATCTCTGGTTACCCCCAAACACGTTCCAGTTCTTCTGCTTCAACAAAAACACCAAACACAATTATTGGGGATAATTCAACTACAAATACTGCAAACATTGCAGCAGCTGCAGGTAAAAATTAACTAATTTTTTGTTTTGAATTTAAATTTTATTTAGCAGCAGCTGCTGCAACAGCACGTACTGATGCATTGCGTAAGCTGTTAACGGAACCACCCCGTAATAGCGCTGCAACTTCATCATTTTTCCAACGTGCAGCAGATTCTAATCGTTCATATAGGTATTGCATGTTTTTAAGCTATTTTTACAATTTGTAAAATAGGTAAGCTTAAATTTTACAATTTGTAAAATTAATTACAACTTGAAATCAAAGTTTATTTTACAAATTGTAAAGTTTTCCAACTTTTTTTTACAATTTGTAAACCTGGATTAAAGTTGAAGTTTGTTTTTATGTTTAAAACTTAATTAAAGTTTATTTTACAATTTGTAAAACAAGTTTTTATAATTTTACAATTTTACATTCTGTAAACTTAAATTAAGTTTACAATTGTAAAACATCCTCTTCTATTTTATAGAACAGACAAAAGCCGTGCCCAACAATTACAATTAGAATATATTGCTGATAGACACAAATCAACAGATGCCCATAATATTTGTTCAGAGCCATCAACACCAACAACATCACAAACAGTTTTAGGGGAACAAGAGACTACTAGGCAATTAAAAATTAAATTTTTTTAAATTTTCCTCTTAATTTTCTTCAGAAAAGCCTTAAAAGAAACTATAAACCTAAAGAAAAATGTTGTTTCTTCTTCTTCATCCCTTTCAACTTCAACAACATCTCCCCCAGACCCTATTCCTGCAAGAATTCCACGTCCAAAAATTGCTCGTTATTCTCCAAATGTGGCACATGCAGAAACGCCTGATGAGGAAGCTGAAGCCGCGGATAGATTAACACCTTTAAGATCGGAAATGCGTTCGCTTTCATCTGGAGGTTGGGGAGGAGGGTCTTCTAGTCCGAGGTGACTAATATTATTGTATATTGAGGTCGAGATCTCTAAAAATCTCGAACCCAATAACTAAAAATTTTTGTTCGATATCTCATTTTGGTCTGCTGTCTAATAAAATATTTTGTCTCTCCAATAGTAGGGCAACTTCTATTTTTGACTCAGATTCTAACAGAAGGGCATTTCTTTTTGGTAGTTATTGTTAGGTGTTTTCGATCACCTCACTAGTAAGTGCTGAGCTACCGGTTAATTACTGAGCTGCCTGTTACTGCTTTAACCTTCTCTTTAAAGGTGAAAGCACCATAATGAGCGTTTTAAATCTAGTAATTTGGATCTCCCTCTTTCCTTACAATTTTTATTTCTTCAGAATGTCCCAAAGATCGCTCATATTCCGAACACATGTAGGCGATACTCTTGAAGAGGAAGACGACGAATACTTGGATACTAATTTTCAAAGAGGGGTTTTGGATAGTGACAGATTAAAACAACACAACAGGCATCATTTACCTATTTTATCAGCAGATAATATTGTTGATGAAGATGTTTCACCTTCCTCTCCTTCTTCCTCTTCCAATTCTGACGGGGGAAGGTTGGGAAAATTTTTGATTAAGAAAATTATTTAAAATCCAATTTTAGAACCTACGAAATGAGTGAAGAGGAAAGCTCAGAATTTTTTGAGTTAAGTGCCCCGTTACAAGACGCACTCGAAACAATTAACGATCACTTAATGCAAGAAGCAATGAAAACATCATTAAAAATGGGGGAGAAAAGTGAAAAGCAACAACAAGAACAGCAACCAAAAAACAACCAACTTGAATGGGCTTATAAAGTGAGCATGTTTTTAAAATTTAATAAACATGTTCGAATGGGAGTGTTTTTAAATAATAAACTTGTTTTGATAGACATCTTTGCAATTTAATAAACATGTTTAAATGAACATGTTTTTCATCTGATAAAAACATATTTAGAGAAACATGTTTTAAAAAGAACTTTTTTAAATGAACATGTTTTTACAATTTAATAAACATGTTCAAATAAGAGTGTTTTTAAAATAATAAACTTGTTTTGATAAACACATTTTTGAAATTTAATAAACATGTTTAACTTAAAATGTTTTTCATCTAATAAAAACATGCTTAGAGAAACATGTTTTAAGAAGAACCTTCTTAAATGAACATGTTTTTAAAATTTAATAAACTTGTTTAAATGGGGGGTTTTTAAATAATAAACTTGTTTTGATAAACATTTTTGCAGTTAAATAAATGTTTAAATGAAAATGTTTCTCATCTACTTAATAAAAACATGTTTAAAGAAACATGTTTAAAAAAAATTTAAATAAACATGTTTTACAATTTAATAATTTACCTAACAATTAATAATTTTACAATTTAATAAACTTGTTTAAATTAAAATGTTTTAATCGAAATCAAACATGTTTAACTAAAAAGTTTATTTTTAAGTATGCACAACATGAATGGCTTAAGATGGCAACAAAAAAGAATACAAATGCCGAGGCTGTCGAACAATTTATCGATGCCCTCGAGTCCTACTCTACACAATTAATGGATACGGTAATGAGGAATATTTGTTGACCAACCACATTTTTTTCAATTTTTAGGTAATTAACATGACTGACCAAAACGGAAACACAGCTCTCCATTATGCTGTCTCTAATGAAAATTTTGATGTAATCTCTGTCCTTCTTGATTCTAAAGTTTGTCGAATTGATCAAATGAACACTGCTGGCTATTCAACTTTAATGTTGGGTGCTTTGTGTGAATTGAGGAATGAAACAGAGTCTGCTATTATGCAAAGATTGTTTCATATGGGAAATGTTAATGCTAAAGCTGTTAAGGTGTTTTGATTCTCTTTTGATTTTTCAACAAATTACGTCAAGTTCAGGCTGTACAAGTAGGTGAACATGTCATGTACTGCTTGAACTTCTGTTTTTTCTTTTTATTTTTCAAGAAATAAACACAAAAATGATTACCTCAAGTTCAAGTAGTACATGGCCATATTCATCTACTTGTACTGCTTGAAAATGTTACTTTAAATAATTTCTTTGATTTTGGGAATCTAAATAAATTTATCAATTTTTATTATCCTTAAGCATGCTCAAACCGCCTTAATGTTAGCTGCTTCACATGGACGTATTGAAGCAACAAATTTATTGCTCAAATGTGGGGCTGATGTTAACATTCAAGTAGAGTGATTTAAAAAAAATTTAAAAAATAAAAAAATAATATTTTAAGGATGTAGACGGTTCCACAGCATTAATGTGTGCTGCAGAACATGGACAAAAAGAAATTGTTAAAATTTTGTTAAAACAGCCAAATATAGATGCTTCACTTAATGACTGCGTAAATTTAAAACTTGAAACAAAAATTAAATTTAAAAATATTTTCTCTTAAAGGACAACCAAACAGCACTTTCTATAGCCGTCGAGAATCATTATAGAGATATTGGCGTTTTAATTTATGCACACTTAAATTTTAGTAGATCAACTGAAGTTGCTTCTACTTCTAATTCAAGTTCAACTTTAACAACACAAACTTGATGAGTTCTTAAAATATTTATAGAATTTTATTAATAAAGTTTATAATATATTTTTAAGTTTACAAACTTGAAAACTTGCCTTACATTTTGTTTGTTTTGATTCGTTTTCCTTCTAGTATAATTGTAAAAATATTTATATTTGTTTATGCCTTGTTTTGCCTTTTCCCAACTTTATTTCAAAAAATATATGTTTTTCAAACTTGTTTTACAACCCAAACTTTATTTCCCAATTTCTTTTTGTAAAACAAGTTGTAAAAGTTTGTTGTAAAAAAAGTTGGAAAAACAGAAACTTTTCCAACTTTGTTTCCAACATTTTTATTTTTCCAACTTTTTTCCAACTTGTTTTTACAACCTTTTTTACTATTCCAACTTTTTACAAAACAAATAAACTAAACATTGCAAAACATCAAAGAAATATTTTATTTTATCCAAACATTTACTTATATTTTTATTGCATAATTTAAACAAAACATTATATAAATGTTTTATAAATAAATGTTTCAAGTTTCAATTATTATTATGTTTTACTAATTTTTATTCTTGTCAAGTTTCTTGACCTAAACATTCAAGAAAATATAGTTTTCACAGCAGGAAGTTTTTCTCTCCCAAAATTACCCAGTTAATTGAATGTCTGTGATCAATTTACCAACAAACCTCCCCTTTAAATATGTTGCATTCCCAATTTAGCAGCAATATATACACTTTAATTTCAACAAAAAATCAAAAAAATATTTTCTATTAACTATTCTACTACCTAAAAATATTCTTTAGTTTTTTTGTTTTTACAACCTATAATCGGGCAATTTGAATAAGAATGAAAAAATCTACAGCCCCTCTAAGTAAAAAATATAAAAAAAATTTTTCCTTTCACTTTTATTTATTCTTAATATTTAGCCAGCATTCGCACGCACTTAACCTTTCTTTTACCTTCTAAAAAAATAAAATAACGATCAGAGCCTATTCAAATTCAAATTTTGTTAGAAGCTTTGAATACATAAAAATGTCAGAAATAAACCTTTTGTTTTTATAATATACAACTTGAATATAAAAACATAAATATAAACATATCAGAATATTTAAAACATTAAGTTGAGCATAAATTTGTTCAAAAACATTGTTTTAAGTACTTAAGTTTATAAAAAGACATTAAAACGAGCCTTAAAAGCAATTTAAAAAATAATAAAAAAAACATATCAATAAACACTAGGAATAAATATGTTGTGTTCGTCTGCCTTCTTTCTAAGTTGTAAAACTTATTTGTAAACATGTTTAAAAAAACTTGTTGTAAAACATGTTTGTAAAAGATGTGTTTTCTCTTGTTTTGAACTTTTTTCCAACCTTTTTTCAACTTTGTTTTTCAGCTGTATTTTCCAACGTTGTTTTCCAACTTGTTTTACAACTTATTTCCCTTATTTGTTTTTATTTTACAAATGTTTGTAAAAATCCTCTTTCTCTTCATAATTCTTTATTTTAAAACCTAGTAAAAACATCAATTTAAAATTACAATTTAATATTATTTTATTTTCCCTCAATATTCCTCCTAAACCAACTTCCTTTTAAAACCTCCATTTAAGGACTAAAAAACATTTTTTAGTTTTTTGTCCTTTCCCATACAAAATTGAGAGAAGTAAAAAAACTAAGGATGCTTTACTGCTGTGAGCTCATTTTTGTTTGTAAAGCGATTTACCTTTTTTTCTACTTTTATTTTCCCTCACTTAGTAAAAACTACATCCGTGACGACCATCTATACACCC